GGGCACTGAGCACACCTGCCCGTGCTCACCTGCGCAGCCAATTGTCACAGGGCACAGGGGACGGCACAGGGCAGAGTCCGAGCCTCACACGGGGACTCGTGCTGCCGCCTGCTCCGGCTCGGTGGCCAGGCTGAGCCTCTGCCACGCTGCCCCAGCGGCAGCCAAGGGATGAAGCGGGAGGTGCAGGCAGCTGCCTCCCATTCCCGTTCCCATTCCCTTTCCCATTCCCATTCCCCCTCCCATTCCCATTCCTGTTCCCATTCCTGTTTCCACTCCCATTCCATCTCCCATTCCCCCTCCCAAACCCATTCCCACTCCCATTCCCATACACATTCCCATTCCCATTTCCATTCCCTTTCCCATTCCCATTCCCCCTCCCACTCCCATTCCTGTTCCCATTCCTGTTTCCACTCCCATTCCATCTCCCATTCCCACTCCCAAACCCATTCCCACTCCCATTCCCATTCCCTTTCCCGTTCCCATTCCCATTCCTGTTCCCATTCCCATTCCCATTCCCACTCCCACTCCCAAACCCATTCCCATTCCCATTTCTGTTCCCATACCCATTCCCATTCACATTCCCAAACCCATTCCCATTCCCAATCCCACTCCCAAACCCATTCCCGTTCCCATTCCCATTCCCATTCCCTTGCTTTGCCATGGGGGACTCCGTGGGCCACACCTGGCAGAGCGCGAGTGCTGGGCAGGAAGGGGTTAAGCGGAGCCAGCGGCGGCAGAATCAGAGGACAGGAATCAGAGGATTACAGGTTTGTTGCAGGACTGTCCCATCTGTCACCAGCACAAAGACGAGCCCTGTCTCGGGCTGGGCTGTCAGCGAAGAGCCCACCACTACATTAGGACTCCATTAGGGGAGGCTGGTGGTGGGAAATGGCAGCTGTCAGGACACTATCATTTCTCCTGTAATTCCTCCTGCTCCTTTCTCAACTGCACTTAAATAGCAGGTCTACCCACTGGGCCAATTTTGCATTTTCGTCCTCCTGCTGCTCCTCTTCTTTCTTTAAAGCTGCAGCTCCCTGGGCCCCTTCCCTGCAGCCTGCTGGTGCCAGTGCCAGTGCTGCCTGTGCCTGCCCATGGCATCTCCACACGGAGAAGGGCTCAGGAGCACTGGCAGCATCCTCACCACGGAGCCACAGCCATGCCAGCCTGGTCTGCAACGGGAACCCACCGGCACAGGGAGGAGAGGAGGTGGATCACACTCTCCAAGGATGGCAGGCTCATTCCCATCTCCCATCCTCTGGTGCTATCCATGAGCTGGAGGATGTTTCCCAGTCTGTGCTGCCCTTGTACAACAGGCTGGCTGCTGATGCAGGGCTGGCCCTGCTCTGCAAACTGGGACAGGGCGGGCAGAACAGTGAATGGTGAACGGGGCTGGGGATCACGACCAGTGGCGTGGGCTCTGTCAGAACAGAGTTTCTTCTTCCAGCCACAAAATCTGTCCAATCTTTCAGCGTTTGGCAGAGGCTCCTGGGTCACACATGCTGCAGTCATGGCCACCTCGGGGTGGGATGATCCCCTTGTGCCAGGGGACCCAGAGGTAAAACCATGGACAGACACATTTCCTGATGGGACAAGATCACCTGGAAACTCTCAGCACCTGCAGAAAGCAGCTCAGCATGGTGGGAGACCATGCTGGGGGGCTCTGTGCTCACAGCTTTCCTGGGAATCCCTGGATCTTCCCACACCCTGCCCTGCCCTCACCGCATCTCCAGCCGGACCCGGCGCCGTCGCTCCCCGTGGAGCCTCCTTTTCCAGCAGGGGATCAAAACAAACACTTGTGTGGGGAAGTGCATTGCAGTGGTGCTCGAAATAAATAACTAATTTCTCCCTACATGATCTGAAGGAGCAGGAGAGGTGTGAATAGCAGGGCCCGGTGTCGGGCTGACTGGACTCCCCGGTGCGGTAATTCAGAGGATGACAAACATAAGCCAAAGAAAAATGTTGAAAAATGGGCACTTCCCGCAGCCCTGAGCAAAGGAGCTATTGCAGGGTTTGGAAATAACGAAGGCAAAGAGAGGGAGAGAGGGGAATTTTCTCATTGAGACCAAGTGAAGTGCCAAACAAGCTGCTATTATGGTGGCTTTGAGAGGCACAGGGAGGGGGTGGTGGGGAGGAGAGTAGGGGGAAGGAGAGGAGGGAGGTGGGGGAGAAGAGAGGGAGAGGAAGGGAGAACAGTGGGGGTGTGGAGAAGCAGGGGATGTGAGGAGCCAAAGGTGCAAGGTGACGCAGGGGAGATGGAGAGAGGACCAAGGTGTGTGATGGTGGCTGGGCCACCACATGCCAGCACCCCACCCCTCACCCCGGGCCCCCCCACCTCTCCCCGTCCTCATTCCCAGCCACCTTCTACCCCCCACAACCACCACCACCACCACCACAAGGGAGGGAAAAAAAAAAAAAAAAAAAAAAAAAAAAAAAAAAAGAGAGAAAAAAAGAGATGGAAAGAAGGAAAACAAAATATCTACAGTTGTCGAGACAAGGGGAGAAAAATAGAGGCAAACATCCATAATTTTCTCTGTGGGGCTTTGCAGTAATTGAGCCATTTGGATAAAAATAAAGGCAGCAGGCCCTTTAGGTAAGAGGAGCTTTTGCAATCCAAGAAGCCTGAATTATGCGTCTTGTATCACTTGAAACCCCCCACCACATCACCCCCCTTCTGCCTCCCCCGTGCGACACCAAACCACTTTCCCTTTTCTTCTTCTTCTCCTTTTTTTTTTTTTTTTCCCCTTCCCTCCTCCTTTTTTAAGTACCCTGTCAAACAGCATCCGATGAGTGGAGAATTTCAGCTGTCACAACTAATTTCAGCGTGTGTGTGCAAAGGTGTGTGTGTGTGTGCCTCGGGCGGGGGGAGCCGGGCATGGAGGCGTAGAATCACTCCCTTGCTTTTTATTTTATTATTTTTTTTTTAATTCCTCAAAAGGAAGATTTACATCAGAAATTTGTTTCTGGAAGTGTTTAAGGCCTGTAATTTCCCTCTTTTCAATCACTGCCTGATGTCTTCTTCTTGCCAGCTCCAGTGCTGAGGCTGGCTGTCACCCTCCCAGCAGCCTGGTCCCTCAGCTGGTCCTGCCAAAGAGGATTTTCTGCCTCTTACCAGGGCTTGAGGCTCTCAAAATTCAGCTCTCACAGCCCTGAGCACCACACTGGGTCTGGTAGGGAAGGTCCCAGCTTCTCCCTGCCTGTGTCCTAGTGCTGGTGGCTTTAGGCTGCAGGTTGGGTCACCTTTCAGCCACTTTGAGATTGGCATTAGCTGGAGGGTGGATCCTGCTCAGAACAGGGCACCCCTGAGAGCCAAGTGGGGCTGTTGGGGTGATTCCTCATCCAGGATATGCCTGGGGAAAGGGGCAGCTGGGGAAAGGCTGGGTCTTCCCAGCCAGCCAGGAGGGGGAAATTCCCTGAATCCCATTCTCTGGGTGTTTCCAAGAGAGGAAGAAGCAAAGCCCTGGGCATGGCTGGAGGTGTTGCCTCCATCACGTTCAGAAGATGATGGGATGGCTGTGGTGATCATCTCAGGTGATGAGATGCTCCAGGCTGGATGGAGCTCTGAACAACCTGGTCTAATGGGAGGTGTCTCTGCCCAAGGCAGGGAGGTGGAACCAGCAGAGCTTTAAACCCAAACTATTCCGTGGTTAAAATCCATTCCCCTGTGTCCCTTTTCCCTAAAACAAATGGACTTTTTGCTCAAGAAAATGACCCCAGTTTCTGAGAGGAGGAAAGGGTGGGGACCAGCCAGCCCAGGTGTGGGGAGGTGACCAGAACAGACTGCACCCCAGTGAAGAAGGTGTTCCCTTCCCACCAGATCATTCCATCAGTTCAGCAATTCCTGCCTGCTGCTGTAGGCACAAATGGGATGCACAGAACTGGAAAGAGCAAGACCCAGCCAAGGAGGAGCACAGAGCTCTGTGGGACATCCCTCAGGTGCTGAATTTCCTACTCAGAGCTTTGGGAAATGGGCTGTGGGGTCAGTGAACCTTGAACTGCTCCAGGCTCAGTGTGCAAGCCCAGCCAGGCCTGGATGCAGGCTGCATTTTGGGAGGTATCACCCAAAAATGACACTCACGAGAAGCAGCAGGAAGGGCTGTGTAGGGCCCTGCTCAAGGAACAAGCTCTGCTTGTTCTTTGCATTAATCCTTGACTAACTGGTCCTTGCATCATCCCGGAGTCTCCTGCTGCTCCACTGTGGCAGGAGCGATGTGATGGGGGCTGGACCAGACCCGGGGGCACCTCCAGAGCTGCAGCTCTTGGCAGAGCTCCCCAGAGCACTGCACGCCCAAAATCTTTGTGCAAAGTGTCACCAACACCACGGCAGCGTCCAGCCGTGGCCGTGAGAGTCAGGAACGTGGTGCTCAAACACACGGGCCAAGCCAGGCAGGGAACGGGCACCGTGGGAGGCGCGTTCCAGGGAGGGGTTGAGCGAGGGTTCTGGTGGCACAGCCTGGCATGGGGTGGCACAGGCAGGGATGGGATGGAACGGCACGGAGAGGATTGCAGGAGCAGGCAGAGGATGGCCACAGGTAGGGATGGAATGGCACGGGCAGGGATGGGATGGCACAGGTGTGGGTGGGATGGCACGGGCAGGAAGGGGATGTCACAGGTGTGGGTGGGATGGCACGGGCAGGAAGGGGATGTCACAGGTGTGGGTGGCATGGCACGGGCAGGAAGGGGATGTCACAGGCGGGGACGGGCTGGGCCGGGCTGGCACAGGCGGGAGGGGCTGTCAGGGGCAGAGCAGGTTCCGGGCCAGGGGCGCTGCCGGTGCCCCCCGCCGTGTCCCTCCCGTGTCCCCCCGTGTCCCCAGGGCCGTGTCCCCCGCCGTGTCCCCCCATGTCCCGGGTCCGTCCCGGGGGCGGGGTCCATGGGGGCGTGGCCTGTAATGCCCCCGCCCCTCGCCCCCATCCCCACCCTACGGCGCGGGAGCGGCCCCGCCCCTCACCGCGAGCCCCCGGCCCCGCCCCTGCGGGGCACTTCCGGCGGAAGCGGGGGGCTCCTTCCCTTTCCGGGCGCGGGCCCCGGGCGGAGCGGCGGGACGGGCGCGGGCCATGGCGGAGCTGGCGCAGGGGCAGAGCCAGAGCGCGGCGCCCGTGGGGATCAAGCCCGAGGGTTTCGTAGACGCTCTGCACCGGGCCCGGCAGGTGAGGCGCCGGCCGGCGGGCCGGGGGCGGGCGGGAGGAGACCGCGGGGCGCCGCTAGGCCGCGGAGCGGAGGCGGGGCACGGCCGCGGTCCCGCTGCCCCTCTGCCCGGCGAGCGGAGCCCCGGGGCTGTGCCCTGAGGGGGCGGCGGGGCTCTGACAGTGGCGGCCGTGGCTTGTGGCAGGGCAGCAGCGCTGCCGTGCGGGAGGGGGCGGCCCTGGGCTCCGGCCCCGGGCTCTGGCTGGGGGGAGCCGGTGCTGGTTCGGGTTTCACACCGGCCGTGTGCGTGGGCTGAGCCACAGAGCGGCCAGAGAGCGGCACGGAGCTGGGCAAGGGTCTGGGCTGTGGGCGCCTTGAAGAGGAGGCGGGTGGGGGCTCTGTCAGTGTCCAGCTCCCTGGAAGGAGGCTGTCCCCAGGTGGGAGTCGCGCTCGTCTCCCAGGCAACCAGGGGCAGGACGAGAGCGCTCAGGCTCAGGCCAGGGGAGGTTTAGGTTGGACATTGCGAGGAATTCCTTCACAGAAGGGTAATTGGACACCGGAATGGGCTGCCCAGGGAGTGGAGTCCCCGTCCCTGGGGGTGTTTAAGGGAGCCCTGGATGTGGCCCTCAGTGCCATCCTCTGATTGACAAGGTGGTGCTCAGCCACAGCTTGGGCTCCATGGCCTCAGAGATCTTTTCCAATTGATTCTGTGACTGCACACCTTGGCAGAGCAGGAGCTTGGCATTCCCTGCCAGGAGAGAGGGAGGGGGGCAGTGAGGTGCTCCCTGAGGAATCCACGAGCTTGCACAGTGCTAAAATGGGAAGTTTCAGTGAAAGTGCCCAGACCTGCATCAATCAACACCCTTGCCTTCAGTCCAGGTGCTCCAGGTGTTTGAGTGCTCCTTGGTTTGTGGAGAGTGGCTGCAGAACAAGGAGCTGCTGCTCACAGCATGGATACTGTGGCTGTTCTTCACATCCCCCGTTGCAGCTCTGTCTCATGGTTTGTTTCATCTCTGAACAGGTTGCACTTGTGCTCAGTGGCTGCACATTAAGGAGCTGTAGCACAGCTGGGTGCCAGGACCAGAGCCCAAAGTGCTCCAAGACCTGCCTTTGTTCTCTCCAGCTTTACAGGCCGGGTGGGACAAATCCCCTCCTGTTGCCCAGACTTTGTCCTTTCACTGACAAGGACCCTAAGACCTCTCAGGTGCTCTCTGCAGTGGAACTGAGGCACTGTCCCCTCACTCTCAGCTCACCTGGGATCAGTGACAGCCAGTCCCTGTTCTGTGCAGCCTGCAGTGACCTGCACAGGGGCACCTGGTGGTATAGATTCACACCCTGCCCCTCCCAGCACACAGGAGCTGCTCTGGGGCCAGTGATTTCCCTCTCAGCACAGGCTGGTGGGGTGTGAGCTGCTGCAGGTTGAGCCAGACCTTGCTTCTTTCAGCCACTGGGAAAGTGCCCTGTCCTTGGAGTGTGATGTCTGAGCACCCAGACAGGGTTTTGTGCTTGATGCAGTTAAATTGAGAGGTGCTGCAGTTGCCTTTGTCTTGACCTGATTCTATCTCACTGAAGGCCTGTCATTGCAAAAAAACATCTTATTTAAATATCTGATAATGCTACCACCCGTAAGCAGTTGAATAACCCATTTATGTAAAAGAAAATAATGATTTGTTGGTGAAGTGCAGGTGGTTGAAATTATTTTGTGAGTGTTTCAAGTCCAGAGGAGGCCATGAAGTGGATCAGGGCTCTGGAGCACCTGCCTTGTGGAGCCACACTGAGAGAGCTGGGGCTGTTCAGCTGGAGAAGAGAAGGTGGAATGGGGACACCACAGCATCTTCTGGAGAGGGACTGGACTCTTCCATCAGAAGCTGTAATGACAGGACAAGGGAGAATGGGCTTAAACTGAAAGAGGGGATGTTTAGGTCAGATATTAGGAAAAAATTCTTCCCTGTAGGAGTGGTGAGGCCCTGGCACAGGATGCCCAGAGAAGCTGTGGCTGCCCCTGGATCCCTGGAAGTGTCCAAGGCCAGGAGTGGCTCGCTTGGAGCAGCCTGGGCTAGTGGAAGGTGACCCTGAGGTGGAACTGGATGAGCTTTGAGGTCCCTTCCACCCCAAACCCTTCTGTGTGTACCACTGGTGATCAGTCACAGGATAAAGGGTGATGCTTCAGAGCATCCTGGGCTCAAACAGCACAAACTGCAGATGGATCTGAACTGGAGCTGCCTTACTGCTGTCACCATGTTTGTAGGGGGGGTCTGTGAAACCCCAACCTCTGCATGAGGGAGCTGGAATAACAAATAGTAAATAATTCTGTGCCCTGGCTCTGGTCACTTACTTGATTTTGTTGTTCTTAAGTTCATTATGCTTGCTGCAATTACTCTGTACGTGCTGGGTTTCCATGAGCCTAAAACTGGAAGATTCCAGCAGCAACCTTCTGGCTGTCTCTCAGCCTGGAAGTAAGTGTGTTGGGAAATGTGGGCTCTGCACGTGTTTGTGGGAGAGCAGTGTCCTACATTTTTGTGCAGTGAGTTGTTTGCTGCCTCTTGAATTACAATTTTTTTCTGTTAGTGTTTGTGGGATGAAAAGAACTGTTGGAGGGTTAAAACATTTCCTTCCCCTGTGAAAATACTTGATTTAATTGAGTTTTGTAGAGGCTGGGTAAGAGAGCACGTGGTTTTCTCTTGCACAGAACTAGATTGTCACTGGTGACTTGTTGCCAAATGTCACTGAAAATGCTCTTCATTGCTCAGGTGATGGATGTTTGCCTCAGCACCCAAGCAATCTGTGATGGAACTTCCTGACTGAGAATCAGGGGAAAATGAAAAGGCAGCTACACCTGATATTTCTCTGGAGGTGATGGCAGAGCTTTCACCAAGGGTGTTTGGTGTTGTATTTGTCTGAGCTGTACTGATCTGCTGCAGCTTTTGTTCTGGTTTTGGCCTTTCTGTAGTATTCCTTTTGCTCTAAGGGAATGAGGGAGCAGAGGAAAGAAATTCAGCCACAGTTCTTACTTTATCCCTGCCTTGATGTTTGAATCTTTCAAGGTTTTGTGTCACATGTAAGACCAGTAATCAAATTTACTAAATTCAGCTCTCATGTGAGCCACAACATTACAGTCAGGCTGTGGAATAAAGTGCTCGGTTCTGAATATCTAAGCAAGGACATAACTTCAGGACAAGGAAGACTTCCCTGAGTAAAGGAAAGTAGTTGCATTCCTCAGAGCCACTGGGATGTGAGATGATTATGGGAATATAAAATAGAAACCTGGAATATATTTGAAAGAAATTACCTTGCATTGCTTTCAGCATTTGTGCTGGACTTGCCTGGATTTTTTGTGGACTCTGAAATATTTGGGATTTATGAATAATTATTTTTTCAAGGTAGTGCTGGGACTTTGAATTGCTCTGTCCTGCATCTTCTGCACCATGTCTCAAGTGGGTTGGTGGCTCTTAGGTGGGGACAGATCTGTCCAGTTGCTCCCAGGCAGGCTGGCTTTTCTGTGGCATTTTGGGGTGGGGAGAGAGAGAGAGAGAGGATGTTTGCTCCCCTTTTGAATAGCGGGATCAAATAATAAGCAGAGCTGCTTGTACTTTAGGCTAAAATGAATTTCTCTCAGACTGTCCTTAAGTTTTGTTCTTAATGACCAAACAGTGTCTTGCCGGGAGTTCTGTGAATTTTCTGGAGAGGAGAGGCTGAGGCTTGGTGAGCCTGTGATGTGCCATCCTGGCTAAAAAAATGGGGAATATCCTGAGACTGACTGAGAATCAGCAGGTTGTGTTTGAAATCCCTCTTTGTATCAGGCTCTAACTTTAATTTCCGTGGTGATGAAGGGGTCTTGGACAAACTTTGCTTTTCCCCCTTTGCAGGGTCCTTTTTCAGGTCATCCTCAAATAGATTTAGGCTTTGCCACTTACTCTGTTATTTAGGAACACCACCTGTGGCATGAAGCTTACATGGTTGTAGATGGTTTTATTGCTTTCTGCAGAGCTCTGGGGAAATGTCTGTCACCCCAACTCAAGTGTTCTGCTGAGTGAATGGGAGGAGCAGCACAGGGACCAGAATAGTCTGAAGGGTCAGATGACAGTGCCTTATTGGGTTTTTTTTATCCTGCTAATACCTAGAATTGGTGATTTTATCTCTTGCTGTTCTTTGCTGGGCACCATGGAGAGGTTTTTCTTAGAAGCTGGGCCTGTTCTCTTGAAAGCTGAATTCTGCAGATATTGGTGTTTGAGTGTGCTAGCAAAGAAGCTTCATGTTTAGAAGTGGTTTTGTATTACTCTGTATTTTGTATTCTCATTTTTCTGGCTGTTAAATGTATGGGAGAACAGAAGTGCAAAGTATAAGAAAACTTGTATCTCACACAAATTTGTGGATTAATTTGTTTTTCTTGGCTTTATCAGCACAATTTGCAGCAAGGGCTTGTGTTGTCCTTTAAAGTCTTTGTTGGAGAGCTTTATTTTGGGGAATTTAGGTGCAGAAACAGTGATGCTTTTTCCCCCAGTGTATTTCAGAGCTTGCTAAAATGGATGCATTGGGTTTAAGGAGAAGAAAAAAAGGAGGAAAAAAACCTGAGGCTGACCTAGAGCAGGACAAAAGCAGTGGCTAACAGCAGTACATTACTCAAGGTCATTGAGGCAGATAAGGGCTAGGTCTGCTTGCTTTTGCCATGTCCTAATTTTTGTGCTTACTTCCCTGCTGAACCTGTCATAAAAACTGAGCTTCCCATTTTAAGTTGAGCATGACATGTTAAAATGTACTTTAGCTGCTATGTGTACTTTGAAAGCTCAGCTCTTCATTTTGCAGGGTGCTTTTTCCTGCTGTGGTGAGGTGGCACCGTTGTCTGCCTGTAATCCAGTGGCAGCTGGGAGGCTTTAGAGATAAGGGTACAAGTTTAAATAAAGGAGGGGGGGGGGAAGGAAAATATCCTAAAAGCTGATAATGTAAAAATTGCTTTAACACTCTTGCTTTGCCCTTTACTTGGAGGGTTCTGTGCCAGGGTGATCATTGCATGCTCAGTGTGAGCAGGGGGTCACAAAGCTCCCTGAGGTGGGAGTACACAGCCTTGGTGCCAGCAGGCTGGTCCTGAACACCTTTGTACTTCAGGCTGCCTTCCTTCCCTGAGCCAGCTTCTGCTATCCACAGACTGGTTTTTTCTTTTCCTGGAGTGTGTGCTGAGTGATCTCACCTCTAAAGGATCATCCGTAACTTGTAAGTCGTGGTAAATAATCAGAAAGAGTTCTTGAACAGGGTGTTGAAATTAAATGTCCCCAAAATATGTCAGGGTGTGTTGTACCTGACACTGTTCCTTTTGGTCTCTGTTGTAAGTTACCATATGAAAGCTGTCAATAGATTGCTGTGAAATATATTTTCAAGTTTATATTTCAACACTGAAGTAGTCAGAAAACATTTCTGCTCTTTGTATTTCATTGAGATTCTCTTCATCCCAAACACGAGGGGAAAGGGCAAAGGGCTGAATACATGGATGCAGGACAAGATTTAACAAAAGAGTAAAGCATCACCTGGCTCTCCCTCCTGGAGAGGACCAGGTGTGTTAATGCTTTCAGAACCAGCTTTCTGGGGACTGATTTGAGATGTTGATGTACAAAATGCTTGTCATGAAAGCTTCAGGATTTCAGCTGGTCCCAGAGGAGGATTTTATTCTCTAGCTCTGACATTTCTGACACAGCAAAGTTTCTGACTTTCCAAAAGGAGACAAGACAGAATGGACTATAAGGAGAAAATGGTCCAAACTTGGGGCCTTTTCATGGAAGGCATTGAACAGAATGTTTCCTGTTCTCTTTCTAAAAGCAGTATCCTCAATCTTTCAAGATCATTTCAAATAGCTTTTTTCCAGTACCCTGTGGTTCTGCATCTTGGGCAATTGCTTGTTCCACTGCAGCAGAAGATAGTGTCAACAACCAGAGCTGCTGTAGATGTCTTTCTGTTGTAGTGAAATGCAAATTTTAGAAATCTTTAGATATATTGGTCATTTAAAACATCTCTGTGTAAAATGCTCTTTCATCTGCTCCTGTTCCTTATTCTCTGGTGGAATCCAGTTATAATGGAGTGGGATTAGTCTCTTGGTAAAGATTTGATTGAATGATTTTATTTTTGCTGGAAAAGGCAGCAAGTGTTGTAGCATACAGTGTACTTGGTATTTGTTCTGTAACTGCTTTGTTCTGCATTTGCTTATTACAGCAAAATACTTTATGTAGGCAAAGGGAGCTGTGAGACTGCAGTTTGCCTGTCCTGGGAGGGTGTAACTGGGGTGCTGCACCCAGGGAATGCACCTGAGTGTTTCTAGGGTGGGTTTCTACCAGTTAGCTCAGAGAGCAGCTGGAAGAGCTTGTGTTGTCAGCATCCACCTGTACAGCTGTCCCTCAAACGTCACTGGAGATGAGCTTAACTTTTCACTTGCATTAAGTGATGTTTAGGTGTGTGTCTCAGTTTATTTGCTTGCCTTAGTCCCCTTACTGTGATACCTGCCTGTCTCCTCTTTCCTGTGAATAAACTCCTTGTATCCTGGCTCAGCAGGGAATGGCAGTTTCCCCTCTGCAAGGCTTGGAAGCAGAGGCACAGGCAGCATGAGTTGTGTTTGTGCTGTACTGACCACTGCAGGAAATGGAAACTAGTTTTGGACTGATAGTTTGCCCACTGGCTTATTCCTCACACAGTAAACAAGAGTGATCCAGTCTCTTTGACAGGTTGTTCCCAAACCTGTCCTTGTGCTGTGTTTTCACTCTCTCCCTCTGCTCCCCCACGGATGTGAGTGTGCATTTCTGTGTGTCTGGATCTGCATGCATGCAGGAGGAAGCGCGTGTCCTCCCACACAGCTGCCTCTGGAGGTGGCAGCTTCTCCAGGACAAAGTTGGTGGGTTAGTTTGAACTCTCCTCTTAGCAAGATTTAGCTTGTCAGCTGTCCATTGAGCAAATAATCCTGAGTATAATGTTCCAGGGCTATTTGTGATCAGGAAGAGGAACTGAGTGAATATGATCTTAATTAAGCAAATATAAAAAGCAAGCAGAAAATTGTTTGCTTTACAAATGAAGCACCTTGTTACAAATCCACCTATATAGTAACTACCTGAGAGAATATTGGCCTGGGGTCAAAGCTTTATTGGGAAAAACGGTGTTTAGTTGTGGTGGTGGCTGATAATGCTTTTATCACCTTATTATAGATTGCTGCTAAAATTGGAGATATTCCTCACTTGAATAATTCTACAACACTTGTGGACCCGTCAGTCTACGGTTATGGAGTGCAGAAACGACCCCTGGATGATGGAGGTAAGCTGGCTGTGATTAATCAGTCTTGTGGATGCAGCTCCTGAAATTCATCTGTGGAGGCAGTTGTCTGTTCTAAGGATGGAAAATGCAGATTTCTGTGTATAGACATTTTACACAAGATGCCCTGTGCTGTTTACTCTTACCTAGATTGCACAGTGTTCTTAGGCATTAGTATTAATGTGAAGCAATTCTTTGTTAGTTCATGACCTTTGGGAATCAGCAAACAAACTGTGTCATTTAAAGCATGGTCTGTGGTAGTTGAGGGAGGGAGGAGGATTTGTTCATTGGGCCTGTTCTGGAGCACACATGTAGAGCACCAGGTGTATACAGTACATGTTCTTCCCTGATGGGCCTTCTTTCCTGAGAGCAGGTAATGTGTGGGGACAGTATTACACATGTTCCTTTCCATCTGTGGCAATAATCACAGCCTGGGAGCTGAGTTGCTGTCAAGTTCTGGTTGCTTTGTGCATGAATTCTAAGGAGAAAAGGGTATTTATGTGTGGTGATGCAAGTTGGAAGGAAACCTCCTGTATTAGCTTAGCTTTCTCCATTATTGTTTGAGAATTCTGAACTGTCTGAAGAATTTAAAATTGGCCATAGCCAAAGGATAGTTTATTGCATGGATCATAACTGGTAACTGTCATAAGTCAATATTGTATGAATTGTTACAATTTTAAAATAAGCTGCTAGTTTCTTGTCTTTTTTAGAACAAGAGTTCTAACATAAAATGTTAGAACAAGAGTTTTTTAGGTTTTATAAATCTAATGATATGCATTGTTACAAGTGTTTAAACTGTATTATCTGCTGCTGTATAGGTGCAAAGAGCTCACCTTTTCTTGTGAAGAAATAAAATGCATGGCTATGTCTTAGTTTTTGCTATTTCCTCTGGTATTTTTCCTGACACTCATAGCCCTGCAGGGTGATTGTCTCCCCCATGAACATGTTCAGGAGTACTGAGGAGATAAGCCAAGCTGCTGCCTAGCACTTCATTTTGAAAAGAATTTTTTTCTGTCTGATACAAAGGCTGAAAATAGCTGCACGTCTGCTCCTCAGTCTGAAAAAACATGCTGGTGCTTGGGGAGAAGTTTCTTTCATGTGGAGCCTCTGGCTTGCTAACATTACTGTTTTCTGAACACATGCCACCACCCACTTCTGTTCTCTGCTCTTGGCTCAATTTAAGCAACAGGTTGCTGCTTTGGAGTTTCAGGAGAGAATGGATTTATCTGGGTGAGCCCTCCACACTTTGTATCTTGGACTGGAGCATCCTTTTGTTGAGAAGCCAGAGGTCTGACATTGCTGCTGTGTGCTGGCTCTGCAGGGGAAGGTGCTGGGCAGTGCTGGGGAATGCTGAACAGCTCTGAGCTTCAGGACGTGGCTGTGTGTGAAAAGGAGTAAAAATAGCCTCTGGGAACCAGTCATTCACAACATTTGCCCTGCATGTGTTTTTCATTGATTCATCAGGCTGAACTGGAGATCTGACCTCCTGACAAAATGGGTTTTAGGAACTTGTACCACGTGAATTGGTCGTAGTGCTGCAGTGACAGGTTGGACTTTGTACTTAAACTTGTACTGACAAGCCCTAGAACTTGGTGAGCCTCGTTTGTGTTGACACAGACCCTGTCAATACAGTAGCAGTCTGGGCTAGAAAAGTGCATTGCTGCTGGTTTCTTGTGCTGCGTAGATAACTCCGTGGAGTGGGTGTTGTTCCTGGGAGAGCCTCCCAGGGTGGATATTCCTGACTCCTGCATCAGCAGTCGTTCTGCTCACCCTGTCCTCAGCACTGGACCTTGTCTGTAATTGTTTTTAAAGTAATTTAAAGTAAAAATTTTAAAGTTAATTTTTTTAAAGTAGCTCCAATGCTGTGTTTGCCCTTGGGTTGTTCATACACGTCTGTATATAACTTTGTCCAACTCCCCTCCCAAAAATCTGGTCTGTGAAGTTTTTAAGGAGAAGAGAAATGACAGAAGTAACATTTTAAAGGGCTGGAATTTGGCAAATAAGCAGGAATTGTCAGGGTAGGGATAAGGGTTGTAGCACTTCTTTGAGCTTGGGTCATGTTGGGTTTTGTTTCTAATTGTATTAATAAGTCCTGTACTCAGATGCACATGTGGGATCCTCCTGTGCTGTTCTTTACCTGCAGCCTGGCAAAGCAACTCCTGAAGCTCTGTGTGCTTCTTGCTCTGTATCTCTTTGTACTGTGATCCATATCTTGGTCTTGGGCTACCTACACTTGCTGCCATTTAATTAAATGTCTATAATGCAGCTTTAGATTTAAACTTCTGGAAGACGAAAGTTGCTTTTAATAGGACACTTAAATTAGGAAAGCACTTCCTATTTGGATGATTTTTTAGTTCTCTGTTAGCTGTAAACAAGGGATGTTGGAATTTCTCCATTTCTGCTTGTCTGTGAAGCACAGTTTGGAGATGTTGTTGTCAAGAAATGATTATGTTGTTACACATGCTCTAGAAATGTTATAGTGAATTTTATAGTGGATTTGGATACATTCTACTGCTCTGGATGGGTTGGAAACAAATCTGGAGGGAAATTTCCCTGTATACTGCATGCTCACAGCTGGGTGCAGGTCTCACTGTTTCCTTATCCCCATGCAGCTCTTGGGAAATTATCACTGTTCCTAATACTGCTGAAAAAAATGTCTCCAGAGGAAGTGTTTAAGGTGACAGGAGAACTGTCTGACTTTCAGGACAATCTAATTCTTCCCATCTGTTTTTGTAAACAGCTGCTGCTGTGGCTGCCTGATGCCAGCTGAGGAAGTGGTCTTGAGACAGGTGTCAGTGCATTGATCAAAACAAATTCATCTGCTTTTCAGCATTTCCAGGAAAAACAGATTTTTCATAGTGTCAGAAACCAGGATGTGTGAGTGCTTTTTGCACTTCCCTTAACGTAACCCTCATCTGAACTGAGGAGCAGCAGGATCAGCCCAGGCAACCTGGCTCATTGGTGTTAGATGGAGCTTGAGACTGATTATTTATTTCTCTTTTCCCTGGCTTCTTTTTTTCCCCTTTCTGGAAACAACTTGAAAGTAATCGTGCAGACAGCTGTAGTGCAGGGAAGAGATCAGGTTTATTTGTACTGCTCCTGGGAAGTCACAGCTGGCATTTCTGTGGCCACTTGCAGGGGTTAATGTTTCTCAGTGGAGGGGAGCACCAGGGACAGGTGAGTCTGAGCTTTAGTGAGACCTGGTGGCATCTTGCCTGTGGCTGCTGCTGAGGACAGACCCCAGCCCACCTGTTAAGGGCCAACTGCTGCCCCTGGCCTCTATTCTAATTAAAAGGTCCCTCTAATTATCAGCACAGATTATTAAGTTTGTTTAATGCTAAATAACCTTTAAAGAAACAACCCCCTTTTGTTCAAAGGAAGCAGGGATCTAGTCTGCTGCAAAGAGACTGATGGACAGAACATTACCCTTTGTTTGCCCTGCTTTGGGCTGCTTTAGAGGAGTGTCCTGTGAGATCCATGGGATTAAGCAGCAGCATTACAGCTGAAGGCTGGGGCACCCTTTGAGTCTGGGAAAACAAAGGTGAGAGACCTTGGAGAAGCCTCACACCCCACTCTCTCCACTCCTCTCTCCTCCCAAAGCTCCTGTGGTACATCCAGATCTGAAGATGAGCTGTTCTGGTGTCATAAAATTTGATTGTGGTAGAACCAAGGGCTCAAACATGACATGATCCTGCTGTACAGAGTACTTTATTCTTTCCCTCCAATGTGTTTTCAATGAAAACAGTGATGGGCAGAAGGGAATTCTGTCCCTTTCAGTACTGATGCTCTTTGACACATCTGCAGCAGCAGTAGGACCAGGGCAAAAGTCCAGATCTCTTGGCAAAAGATTTCAATCCATGGGATTAAGCAGCAGCATTACAGCTGAAGGCTGGGGCACCCTTTGAGTCTGGGAAAACAAAGGTGAGAGACCTTGGAGAAGCCTCACACCCCACTCTCTCCACTCCTCTCTCCTCCCAAAGCTCCTGTGGTACATCCAGATCTGAAGATGAGCTGTTCTGGTGTCATAAAATTTGATTGTGGTAGAACCAAGGGCTCAAACATGACATGATCCTGCTGTACAGAGTACTTTATTCTTTCCCTCCAATGTGTTTTCAATGAAAACAGTGATGGGCAGAAGGGAATTCTGTCCCTTTCAGTACTGATGCTCTTTGACACATCTGCAGCAGCAGTAGGAGCAGGGCAAAAATGAAATCTTTTGCCAGATCTCTTGGCAAAAGATTTCGTTTAATACACAAAATGTCACTGTTCTTCAAAATTGTAACTTTACAGATGGCCACTTTTTAAAATAAGGTGGTTCAAGGGAGGGGAAAAATCTCCAAAGATTTGCAGTGAAGTCACACACAAAAATTATTACGGTTTGACTATTTAATTCAAGAAAAACCTATCAATATTTAATGATGGAGAATTAGGATAACAGTCTTTGTAGCTTTCTAAAATTTATGATGATCCCATTTTGGCTGTAAAATATGAAAAGCAGTCCTCTTCCACTGCTCTCAAGGAGATGTGTTCCTCTGATTTTATTCTAACCATGAAGATATTCCTGAAGAGATTGTATATTCCCATCATGCACATTAATTTAGTGGGAGGCACTGCTCTGTTTTATGGGCTGGAAGAAAAATCCGCATTTGTTTTGAGTGTCTGTTAGGTAGAATTCAGTTAAGGTGAAGCGTAAAGCAGAATGAAGAGTTATCAAGCAGCAGGTGCCATTAATAGCAAATTGTGCTGATTTTATTCAGTATTTTTCCTTATTTGCAGTAAAATGACTGCAGTTACAGTTAAATTGTACTGAATAGATGTAAAAGGGGGAAATATGTGTGTGGCTTGTCAGAGTTCAGCCCCCTCCTTGGTGTGAAGGGAGACAGTGGAATGGTGCATCAGCTTTCAGTGTTGTGGCTGCCCCAGCCCTGCCTCTCTATTAGTCCCTGTTTTTCAGAGAAAAATGGACATGTTGGAGAAGGAATGGACCTTTAGGTTGTTGGAACTGCAAGCCACATCATTTTTTCCCCCTCAAAACACAGAGAAATCATAAATGACTTGAAGTAAATAATTTCCGCTTCTCTCCGTTTGCCTTCAGTCTCAGTTTTTTGAGAAGTTATCTGTGAACTGTGGAAGGAATGGTCTCTCTCATAGGTTACTGTGGCATAATTTTTCCATACTGATTTGTACAGTAAACATGCTTTGAGGCTGATACCTCCCTGTGGGGGTGAATGGCTTGCTCTGTTTGGATTCTGCAACTCAGAATGGGTTGGAGAGATGTTGCTACCTGCATCTAAAGCATTAATTCCCTGACTGATTTAACTTCCTGTGCTGGTACAAGTTTCCCCTCAGAAACTGACTTTTTCAAGTGTAGGATTGTGTTACAAAATGAAGGCTCTTCCCTTCCTTGCATGAACTTGGGGAGTTGATTATAGGATGTGTATCTGTCTCATAATTTGTGGGCAGTGGCTGCAGCGGAACAGATTGCTAAGAGAGCAGTTCTGGTGAACTGAAATGCGAAGTGAAGATTTAAATACAGCCTTTGCAGAGTTAAAACCACTCTTTCTGGCATCTTGATAATGAATGGCCTTGGCTGTGGCAACCCCACACTACACCAATACCACCAGAACTACTGCATGGAGTTGAAATATTCTGAGTTTGGTTGTATTTACTCAGCATTGTGGTAGAAGCTTATCAGCCAGAGCAAATATTCCTCATTACATCACCCACCTTTTTCAACTGCAATATTCACAATTATCAAATTAGAGTTTTTCATATTCAGGGTGAGAATATGCAAAGACAAATCTAAGAGAGTCAATTAACACAGCAGTTGTCTTATCGCTGAGCTGGAGAGAGTAATAAAATAGAAACATTGCCAATACTTTGGCCCTGAACTATCATGGAGGTATTGACACACAGCAGAAATACACTATTGACTCTCTTTGTCTATTTTCTTTGAGTAAAGTGTTTGGCCACAAACTTGATGCATTTTTCTACCAGATTTAGAGAGTGTGGGATGCATCCACTTTCTATCCCTGCCAGCTGATTGCCAATTTATTTCAGGTCAAAGAATGTGCAGCTTGCTGCAAGGTAGTTTGAAACAGCATCTTTATTATCACGGCTCACATGTTGGCCAGTTTCATTTGTTTTGTTCCGTGCCCTCCAGGCATGCAATATAATCTTTCAACTGGTTGTTAGCACCAAATGGTCTGGGGTTTAGCTGGTTTGCTGCAGGCAAAGTCCAGTAGGAAGCCCAGCAGGGCTCGTGTTCCTACTTTGCATGACTTGGTCTAATGATATTTTCCCCATTAACATTTGGAAGAAAGATCTAATCTGTTGGGGCTGGGGGGAGAAGTCTGTCTCAGGGTTGTCAGTAGGGAGATAATTGCTAATCATAGATGGACCACCAGCTAGCATGGCAGAAATGCCTGGAATGTGTTCAAGAACATGTGTTTTGTTGGGTTGGAACAGCGTTTGGGTGCCACGAGGTTACTTAACAGCCCTATTCCTTTAACAGGTCTCCGTGTAAGTGGGCTCCATGGAGCACAGATCAGAGACACAGAGAGAAGTATGTGCCAGCCGTGTCAGTGCTTGGACTGAGGGAATCTCTGAGGCTGCTTGGCTTCTATTCTTGTTTATTAATACACACTGGTCTCCTTCAGATTTCTCTCCCTCCTCCTCCCTCCCCCGCCTTTTCCCTTTTTTTACTACTTTGGGCTTAATTTGGGAAGGGGGGAGGTTAGTTGCAGGGATTTGGATTTGGGCAGGCAGGATTTTCTCCCATGACTCTCAGCATGGGGAGACACGGATCAATTCCCTATCCTGTGTTCAGCTGGACACTGGGCTGTGGTGTGTGTTGATCAAGAAATCCCCTCCTGTTTTGTACCACATAACGCATTCATTTCAGCCACTGAACCTAAATTACTGTTTTGCTTTTCTTTCTTTTTTGATGAAACGGTAAGAACTCTTTTTCTATAGGGATGAAGTTAGTTTATCCGTGCTAATGCTTTGATTTTTTTCCCTTTTTTCTCTCTCTGCCACAGTAGGTAACCAGTTAGGGGCCCTGGTACATCAAAGGTAAGCAGTGGGTTATGTTTTATTATTTATTGATCAATTCTAATTGTTTATTGATCCACCATCTGTAGTAGTGTTAGAAAGTCAGAGGTTGAGAATGTGGAAAAACTGTCAGCTTGGGTTTTCTACAGCCTGGGTTGTTTGTTCTGATGAAAAAAGAGGAGTTGATGTGAAACTTGGATTTGGTCTCTGCAAATCTTCAGGACTGAAAAAAATAAATTCTCTCTCCTTTCCCTTCCCCTGCCCTGGCAGCGGCAAGACAGAAAAAGTGAAAAAAGGTCTGGCATTTTGGTGAAAGGTGGAAGTAGCAAACAGACACGTTACTGTTGTTGTTATTTAGTTTTGTTAGTGTAATATGACCCGGGATGACTCCTTTGTTAAAGATGGTTTGGGAAGACTGAAGCAAGTAGGAGTTGTCATCCAGCATGTCTCAGCATCCAATAAAAATGTAAAGTTCTCAGTTTTTCTCAAATCCTGCTCTTGAGGAGTTTTCTGTGTTGTTTTGAAGGGAAGAACGTTTCTAAAGCTGGATTAGCCTGAAGGTGAATGGTAGTGCATTTCCATCCTAACCAGCTGTTTGGGGCCTCAGCAGAAGGGACAAACAATGTGCATGAGGGCTGTAGAACCTTAAATTTTTAATGAATAAGGCTCATGTCCTACTAGAGCATCCTAGAAAGGGGTAGGCATTGCTAGTACTTTATCTGCAACTTAGTTAATCAAGTCTAGTGTGTATTTTACACCTTTCCTAACTGATCTAAAGTAAAAAACGGGAATATTTTAATATACCTCCTTACAAAACCTGCATTGAACTTACTGTGCAGGTGTTTTATTGCTTTTGAGATTGCTGAGCAAATTGTATATAATGCATATTTGCAAATTCCACGTTCATGGTGTTGTGTTTTCTACAAGACAGAAAAAGCTAAACAAAAAAACAATCCAAGTTAATTCCTTTCTACTTGACTATAGTCAGGTCTTAGGAAACTGCTTTGAGTGATTTGTTTTGAAGCAGACACATTGAAAATGTCCAAAGAGCAATAGGTATGGAAGTCTTGAGATAATAAGAATTCTGAGGATAATTGAAGATGATCTTTATGAATTCCAAGGAAAAGAATTATAAGGACAAGCAGGTGAAAAAGAGTCCCAAAACACCAAACCTGTGAATATCAGAAGGGGGATTTCATGTCAGGACTGGCTTTGGTTGGTGTCTCCTGGGAAGAGAATATCCAGAAGCACTGGGCAGACACTGCTGCTTGGAAGGTCCAGGCTCAGTGATAAGGAAACTTTGTGCTGTTTTTGTTAAATCTGTCTGGAGCAAGAATGACAAAGAGCTTCTTCCATCAGCTCCATTCAATATACCAGAGATAGACTGGAAATGGATCCAGCATAGGAGGAATTGTGTGACCATGAGAGGTCCCTTCCAAAACAAATTATTTTGACAGTGATGTGCTTTTACTTGTGTGTGCAGAACCCCTGTGCTGAGCCCAGGCTCCATGACAGGGCTGTAGCTTCTTCCAGATTGTTCTTTGTAATGACTTTGGGGTTTTCTTCCTTTTTTTTTTGGGGTTTTTTTTTTTTTTTTTTTTTTTTTTTTTTTTTTTTTTTTTTTTTTTCCTTTTAGGGCTGTAATAACAGAAGAGTTCAAAGTGCCTGATAAAATGGTTGGATTTAGTAAGTACCTTGGATGCTTTTGATGCTTCTTGATGTGATTCCTGTGCAGGAATGCTGTTAATTCTGACACAAGTTTTTTGCTTATTAGCCTTGGATAAGCCTTGTTTAATGCTGTCTTCATGGGGAACAAAGGATCTGTGTTTAAAATCCAAATGCAAACTTCATGGAAAAGTTTGGTGTCCCAGTAATAGGAACAAGAATGTTTGGTACAAGTTACTGGGCATTTTAGTGATTTTCTCTTTTAAATTGCCATTAGCACAGTACATAAACAAGTCAAAAGTGAATTTATTTCCCTTCATTGCAACATTTTACTTTAAGTATGCAAAACTGTGAGAGTTGAGGAAGGAAAACAACATTTAAATGTTAAAATATGAGTTGACTAAAGGCAAGTTAAATAGAATTTTAAATTCCTCACACATTTGCTGCAGGGAAACAACCAGACCAGAGTTTTTCCTAGATTTGCATTCCTGATGCTGTTCTCTTTCAAGCTTGATCCTAATTTCTCTCTTCCTCTTAATGATCATTACTCTGGCTTTCAATGGCACCTCCTGCTGATGTGTTACTGCAGTGATTGCACAGACCCTTCCACTGCTGGGTCTCTGTGTATCCCTTCCAATTTGATATATGGAGAGTAAAGAGGAAAATAACAGGCTGTGCTAATTACCCCATAGTGTGCCAAGTTTTGTCCCCACTCTAAAGACACTGTAAGACTGTAACTCAAATTCCTGCAGAGGAAAGGCTCCCTCCTCTCCTGCCAGGCCTCTTTGTTTGCCACTCCTGGTGCTACACGTGGAGGATGTTGGCCCTGGGAGAAGGGAGCTTACAGGCATCATCTCTGTGTCTCACCCTGGTTCAGGGGTGGATGGATTTGGGGGGATGCAGCCCCACAGCTGAGATGCTTCTTTGGGAGCATCCTGAGCCAGGAATACCTGGTTGACTTGACAGCTTTGCTGTTTTTGCAGTCTGGGAAGGGTAGGAAGGGTGATTGGCACGGTCTGTGCTCTGGGTGTCATGTTGTGAAACAACAATTTAACTCTGAGAGTTAAGGGAGAGGGATATTTGTGTTCCCTGGAGGTTGATAGAGCATTTCAGGATGTGGTTCTGTCTGAGTGCAGACAGCCAAATAGCATGTCCATTCAAAAATGGCAGTAAAATAGGAATTATAAAGAAACAAGTCTTTGCCTTTTTTAGTACCCCAAATAACTGACTTACTGGTTCAGGCTGAACAAGATGTACTTAAATTACTCTCCTAGCATCACCCAGACTAGTGCCTTATTTCTTTCATGCTTATTTGTTTCCATTCCTGTGCAAGACAGGCTTCTTTGTTTTGTTTTTCCAAGCAAATAGAATAACCTTCAGCAGTATTTTAATGTTTTTATGCTATGATAAATTTGGTCATGCTGTGGATGCCTCTTCTGCAATCCTGGAGTGAAACTGTTCCTTTATAGAAAACTGCAGTGGAGTAACAGGGGGAAGGTGCTCTGCAGTTTCCAGGAAAAACAGTTTGTTCTGATGCTTGTTGAACTCATTTCAGTAATTGGCAGGGGAGGAGAGCAGATCTCACGGATCCAGATAGAGTCTGGCTGCAAAATTCAAATTGCTCCAGGTAAGCCCCTCTTTGTGTGGTGGGTGAACAGGTTTTACTGTCAAAGGGTGTTGTGTCCATTAGATCAGGCACTTTCCATGCTCAGGGTGTGTTGTCACCATTGACATGGATACAGACAGCCATGGGAGAGCTGTTGTGGGACCCACCTCCCAACCAGGGTAGAAAACAGGTTGGTCAGGTGGTTTGGAGAATGGAACAGTGAGGGAACTGGCTTTAACCAGCAGATGGTTGCAGAGCAGATGAACAATCCATGCTGTGCTTAGAACCTGAAGCTGTTGAGTTTTCTCACTTTGCTCAGCTCTGTGTTTTGCCTCTGACTGGTCTGGTCAGCTCCAGCTCCTGGCAGAAGACATTTCAGCAGGGTTGGCAGCAGCTGCCCATACAGCTTGCTTTGCATCACAAAAATGAGACCATTCTTCCAAATGGGATCATTTGGTGCCAGTTTGCTTTGGGGAAGACTGTGCTGCAGTGCTGTACAGGGAACTGTTGAGTTTTTACCCCTCCCTTTAACTGGTGGGGAAGGCTTTAAAAGAATGCAGACATCCAGTAAATCATTTAAAATATGTTGATCCTGGATGTCTTTGAATTCTTTAGCATGCTATGTGTGCAGGTGGGTGGTGCTTCCATTGGTGCTTCATGGTCACTGAAATAGCTGCCACCTTTTTAATTCCATGTATCAAAGTTTTCTCCTTGTTTCCTTTGCAGACAGTGGTGGGATGCCTGAGAGGCCCTGTGTACTCACTGGGACACCAGAGAGCATTGAGTGAGTTCTGATTTCATTTCTCTCCTTTTTCCTTCTTTCTCTTCTCCCTAATGCTGTGCTCTGTCAGTGGTGCTATTTGGTTATTAGCCACACCAGCAAATGTTGGCCTAGAGAAACTTGAGGGTCTCTGGAGCATAGAACCTCTTGGTCTGATGCTTTAAAGTGTGCACCTCAAAGGCTTTTTTTCCACTTGCAGTTTGACTCCTCTGCAGAAATTTCCTTGGAATTCCCCTCCTCAGGGTGAGGTTGCTCTTAGGGCACCTAGGATGCAGTTTAGTAACTGCAGCTTTCCAGGATACTGAGCTAAGCTCTTGAAGGGCACTTCTCTTCTCCCCTTCGCTTCCCTACTCCTATTGAGATGAGCATCCTTCCAGCTGAAGAAGGGCTGCATGAGGCCTCCAAAGCCTGTGGGTGCCACTCCAGGATACCCTGGAGGTGTTGGTGTTGTTGCAGAGCAGCATGAGGCCCACTGGGTGCTTGTCTCTGCATTGCTGCCAACAAGAAGCAAAGGACTGAACCCAAGTCTTGATTCTGCTCCTTGCATGGTAGAGACACGTGGCCAGCCAGCAGGGATTTCTATCTTTAGACCTATAGAAACTTTAGGGACAGTGTTTCCTCCCTCCCCCTTCCCAGGAGCTGAGTTTGAGACTCTCACAAACCAGTTGAGGACCTCCTGCTGGAACTGGATCCAGGATCCTCAGGCTTACAGGAACACACTTAACATATGGAGCTGCTCTTTCTCTCCCCAGCCTTTGGGTAGGTGGGTTTTTTAAAATCCATCTGGAAATCTTTGAGTTGCGTTTGAAAATACATTGATGCAAAGATTGTCTCTCTAAAGAGAAGACACTCATCATTCTTCCATTCCTAAAGAGATCTAAGGGTACTTAAATCTCCTTATTCTACCATAATACTGCAAGCAGTGAGCCCGAGCAAATATAATTGGCAAACTCATATTATAGGGCAGGCAGTGTATTCTTGGTGATATTGAGGTGGTTTTCCCCCTTTAGCAAAGGATATTTAAGAACAAGAGCAAAATAGTAAAAAGCTGGGGTGCTTCATGAGATGCAGTTGTGGGAAAATGGGGGAGAAGTGTAGTTAAGACTTCGTGGTTCTGAAATAAGCAGTTAAATGTACTCATGTCCAAGGCTGTCTCTAAGTAAAATATGAGTAAATCTTAAAAGTGAGACTATTAAATTTGGGAAACAGAACATGGACATGGAATTAAGTGAAATTCAATTTACTTTTGTAGTAAAATTCTTGACAAATTGGTTGTTTGAACTGGTTTTTTTCAGGCTACTTGTAGAAAAAGAAAATTAAGTAAAGAAGCCATTCTGAGTGTCAGACTTCTTTGAGAAGGGTTTTGTGAGGAATGTTTTCATTAGTTATAGCCAGTGACAAACTAATAGGGTTAATTTCCAGGTGACCCCTTTTCATCTGAAATATGTTGTGTATTAACTGTTGTGGTCTCTATATTGTCACTAAAAGAACTTTGCACAAAATATGAAGGCAGATGAATAAAATGTCCCAGGACTTTTCCAGAACATTTGAAGCAGGCTTCCAGAAATTCCACCTTTTCCCTTTTGTTGTGAGAAAGTCAAGGGCAGTGCTCTGCTCTGAGTGCAGCCTCAGTGCTCCGCCCCCTGAACTGCCTTGGGAGAATGTCTGCTTGAGGGGATGAGTTTGTACTGGTTCTCCAAATCTCCAGAGAAGTCAGTCATCCTTAGGGTGCCTGATACGGCTTGGTGTGAAGTGGAGAGAGGGGAAGATGCTGCATTAGTCTGTACAGGGAACCAGTGAGTTTCTTGTGCCTTCAGAAGGGTTGTGGGACAAGGGCAGGAATGGGATGTGCTGGTATAGGAGTCTTCAAGATGAAGGGAAACCCTGTCAGTTACCTCTGACATGCTAAAGATTTTAGAGAAGGGATCTTTAATCTCCCAAATGCTTCTTTGTGTGTCTCTTCTCACCAGGAGTAGAAGAACCCAGTCTTTCACTGGTGGCTGCTGCAGTATCCCTGCCTTGCTTCGTGGTGTAGCTTCAGCACCTACTGCTTGGAGCAGAGGCTGTGTTAGGACAGTGTTCTGGTGCTGCTGGTAAGAGCAGGTAGAGAAGAGCAAAGCAGTTGCCTGTGACTGATCAGAGAATGGTTAATCCATGGGCTGTGTTAGTATCAGAGCAGTGTCTTTTTGTCTTGACTGAGGAGACCAGAGCTTGAGTTTTATTATTGTATATGTGTTAGAAAAGTTAAAACCCAGAGCATCTTCATTTGAAGTAAGCATCCCAAATGCTGCAGTTCAACTATTGTCCTTAACTTCCTAAGAGGTCAGAGCATGCTGCTGCTCTTCCTTTTCTCTTCCCCTTCAAAAATCAAACTGCTTATAAGTAATCATGATAGGGGAAAATAGACATCAAAGAGTTAAAAAAAAAAAGGGCAAACATTGTGCTGACTATGGTTTCCTCCATCTTTCCACTTCTCCTCTCCCCGATCGCTCTCCATTCCGATGGTTCCTGGTCTCTTGGTCACGTGGAGCAATGTTGTCTAATGGTTGTTTCCCTCGATTCTTTTCCAAAGACAAGCAAAACGGCTTCTGGGGCAGATTGTAGATCGCTGTCGGAACGGACCTGGTTTTCACAACGATGTTGATGGCAACAGTACCATTCAGGAGATTTTGATCCCGGCATCCAAAGTGGGTCTAGTCATCGGCAAAGGAGGTGAAACAATAAAACAGTTGCAGGTGCGCAAGATGCATTTCCTTTAGGGCTCTCTTCCCTACTGCAGCTTCTCTAGATCGACTGGAACAGGCTGAAATGGAGAGCCTTGAATGCTCTAACCTTCTCCAGCAGGGACTACTCTTCTGCCTTCGGAGATTGGACTCAAATCCAGTCTTGTGTTACAAAATCAGTGTGGCCCCAGCTACACGAGTAGTGGAGTTTTGCCAGAGCTGCGACAGAAACCCTTGTGCTGTAGATAACACTTGGTGTGTGCTGTTTAGGAGGGGATCCCTGTAGCCAAGGAAGGGCCATGTCTGCTCTGCTCTGCAGTATTTTTAGTGCCAGCCATGCTCTTGTAGAGTGCTCTGCTTCTCTTTTGTTGCTGATCTGTGGTAAAGCTGCCATATGTCATCTTTTTTTCTCATCCCACCCCTTTCTAATTAAGTGTTGTGTTATGTATAAACTGTGTTCCTGGACGTTCTTTATTCCTCCATCTGGTACAAGTTTTTAAAGAATAGAGGGTTATAGCAAAACACCTAGGGTCAAAATTGGAGGGGTTTTGAGTGCCCTTATTAGACCTCTGTGTTATACTTTGGAGGCTGGTCACTTAATAACTGTTACGTGCAGACAGCTACAGATTTTGGAAAGGGCTGGAAAGTCAGGAGTTGAGGTGGAGTGGGTTGTTCTTGCAAGGATTTCAGCTATTTGAGAACCTCAGGAGCAATGCAGTTTCTGGCAGTCCTTTACACTCTACTCTAGGACTGTTCCTGAATTTGTGTATTCTGTAACGGTGCTGGTTTGACCTTCATAATGTCTAGTAACCAAAATCTAGTCCCTTGTTCTAGGGACTCTGCTTAGAAAATTGCTCTGTGCTTTTTCTTCAGGAGCGAACAGGTGTGAAAATGATTATGATCCAAGATGGTCCTTTGCCTACTGGAGCAGATAAACCTCTCCGTATTACTGGAGATGCATTTAAAGTACAGGTATGTAACAAAAGCAAACTGGTTGCCCAAGAAAACTGAGGAGAAATTCAAACCTGAGTGTATTTGTGAGTCAGATCCAGCTGTAAATGTAATAATCTCTCCTGGTTTTGTTTGTTCTGTAAGGTTGAGAAGAGCAAGTTAAAACACCAGAGTAGTTTGTTTTACAGCATAACTTAGGAGCTGTCACTCCACATAAATACTGCACATGGGCAGGAGTAGGGATGAGGGGGAGGGTTTGGAGAAAGTAGTTTTGAAATGCTTTCCAGTCTGTGTGACACAAAATGAGAGCTCTGTGTCACTTGAGCGAATGGGTTCTTAGTGACTGACTGAATCACACGTTTGAGACAGCAAACCTTTCACCAAACTACCTCAGACAGCCAATCGACGCAGGTAATTAAAAACCAATCCCACAACAACTCCTGAAACCAAGGGGTTTGCTTAACATTGGTGCCTCAGTCTCCTTGTGTCAGAGTTCTGCAGATGTGAATGTACCTGTGGTTTGGAGGAAACTCCCCCATCAGCTGCAGACTGGGGGATTGCAGCGTGAGGGGAGCACCTGAATTAGAGCATTAAAGTTTAGCTACAGCATGTTCCACTTCTCAGCAAGTGCCTTTCATACCTTGCTAAGTACTTAAATCTAGCTTAGCATTCCTGTCTCCAATGAAAGTAGTTCTGTTTCACAGGATCTCCCTAATCATAAATTGCTGCAGCAGTTGATGTTGCTCAGGCATAGTGTTTGGGTAGTATTTTTCAAATCTCTTACTGGAAGGTTTAGAGTTTATTTTTTTCCCCCTGAAATTCTTACTGTGGAGGTATAGCTGTGCAAAAGGAGTTTAAAGACAGTCTGGCTACTTGTTACTAAATCACACTCTCAGTGCTGCCACTTCCCAGGTGGCTTCTGCTTTGCAAGATTTGCTGTTGTCACATCTTCCATTCAAGGAAACATGGAGACTGCACAGGCTGGAAGATCTTTGAGGCACTTAAAGCTGAGCACACTCAGGAAGTGTTTAAGAAGTGTGATGAATCCTTGGGTTTGGTGGGATTCTGTGGATGCTGCAGCAGTGTTTCTTGACTCCCTCAAATCCTTCTGAAATCTCTCCATCACCCATATTTCTGTCTTGGCATCTCTGAAATGTGTTTGAGTTGTTTCTTTCTGTTAAAAATACTTTGAGGATATGGGAAATATGTAAAAATGAAAAGAGAGAAGTTCACCACTGTCCTCAAGCTTGGAAATAGAACCAAGATGTCAAAAGCTTGACTGGTAGTAGAGGGAAACAAAAGCTTGGGTTTGACATACAGGCTTTTTAAAATTTTGTTGGTGACTACTGTTGGCTAATTTCCAGGGCTAGACTTTTCACTAGCTGGGCTACATGCAGGCTTGTGAATGGCCTTGAGTGCTATCAGTAGGTAGCAAAAATATCCATTTGTCTCAGAAAATATCTTGCTGGATTGCTGCAGACTTGGGTTTAACTCCTCAGAGTCAGTAAGCTCAGTGGTGCCCAGCAGCCTCCTTGGTGTGTGCTCTGTAGCTCTTAGTGGGCACGATCTCTGCCATGCTACCAACAGCTTCTACCTTACTGTGTTGGTTTCAGTTCTATCTGTAGGAAAGGGCCTTCACTTCCTTTAATTTAAAAACAAAACAACAATAAAAAAGATATTTTTAAAGTTAAAGGGCCTTTTTGAAAGGCTGGAGGAAGCAATTGCACCTAAGAAACTGCCACCTTGTGCACCTGGCAGGTTTTGTCAGACAGAGAAGATGCCATCAAGAACAGATTGTGGTAAAAGAAATCCTAAATCAACCTGCTGTTCCCGTGCAGCAGATGGAGATCCCCCTGCCTGAAGCCTGACCATTACCCATATTGAGGCCCTAACACCAGGAGGGCAAGCAGAATAATTTGAAGCTAACTGTAACTTCTTTCCCCATGTAGCAAGCGAGGGAAATGGTACTGGAGATCATCCGAGAGAAAGATCAGGCAGACTTCCGAGGCGTACGCAGTGATTTCAGTGCTAGAATGGGAGGAGGCAGCATAGAGGTACGTTTCCTTCTCAGTGCTCTGCTAACCTCCCTGTGGGATGGGTACTGGGGGGAGTCATCCAACTGCACTTGTAACCTGTGAGCTTTTTTTTAAATGTGTTGTGTTCTTTTTTTGCCAGAAGAACTGAGTCTGGCTCTGCAAAGAGGAGGAGTTCTCGTGGACTCCCAGATGGCACTTTATAATTTAAGCTGCATTCTTGTAGTGCAGAGTTCATGTAGTGGGGAAGGAATTTGTGGCCACGTGTTTGTTTTTCTCAAGAGATGTGGTTCTGTAGCCTGGAACTGCCTAACATGGCCTGTCCTCAAAGTTAAGAGCATCTCCTTGTAAAATCAGAGTCATTCAGTCTAGTTCTCTGCACTTTCATACTCCTTTGCCTTTCCCATCAGGTCTCTGTGCCCAGGTATGCTGTTGGAATTGTGATAGGAAGAAATGGAGAAATGATCAAAAAGATTCAGAATGATGCTGGAGTTAGGATTCAATTTAAACCAGGTTTGTGTGAGGATGGAGAGCCGTTGCTTTCTGACCAGTGTTCCACTTTTGGGTTCCAGCAGCCAGGCTTTCCTCATTTACAGGTGCATTGTGTCTCTTTCTGAAACCCATTTAAATGTGATGTGCTGCCTCCTCATGCACTTCCTGGTTTTCAGAGAGTAACATTATATACAGCTTGTTTGCAAACATTAGACGTCACAACAGTCATGTCTTGAGTGGTAATTACACAGATAAATAAAATAACAAAAATCTTTTATTTCCTGTTAAAGAATTCTCCTTCAGGACATTAAAGCCTTTGGGGATCAGGAGTTGATTAATTCTAAGTAACTTTCTCTGGGTCCTTGGCTGTCTGATCACCTATCAAAGCTGCCTTTTTCCTCTTAAAATTATATCAGTCTCTTTCATAACTTTTTGACATTTGAAATTGTTTTCTTTTAAGTGTTGTTCCCTCTGCAGTGTGGGCTGGGTTTTGTCTTCTTGCAGTCCAGGGAAGAGGGGCTGAAGGTGGAGGGAAGCAGTAGCTCCTGGGATAGTTCTGTGGTGTGAAAATGCTGCCAGCAGTGTTGGTGCTGGAAGGAAGCTTTTGTTGGTGAGTGGATGTTTTCTGCTTTTAATTTAGTCTTTGCCACCTCTCTCCACAGATGATGGGATTAGCGCTGAAAGAGTCGCACAGGTCATGGGGCTCCCGGATCGGTGTCAGCACGCAGCACACATCATCAGTGAGCTCATCCTCACGGCACAGGTGGGTCCTGGAGGTGCTTTTTGGGAGAGTAGGCTGCATGCAGGCAGCTGGATGGATGGGAGGGATGGAGGCCAACTTCTGAAAAGCAGCAGTGTTCAGTTTTCCCCTGGTAGGGAAAACCACACGTGCTGCTGCCCAGAGCTGCTGAATTTGAGGTTTGCTTGTGTATGATGGAAGTTCTTTTAATGTAATGTGGACTAACTGAGCTGTGGGAAGGTCTTCTATTCTGAGGCCTATGAGGCATCATTATAGCTCTACATCTGTCTCCTGTTTAGTTATTGTTAAGTTTGGAAACAATGGCCTGATGGAATGGAGTCCATCAGCATCAGGCAGTGACTGGGGGCTCTGCTTAGACAGCAGATCACTGCCAGTGCTCAGTGGTGCCTCAGCTTCAGACTCCAGCCCTTTGGTCTGGTGGAGGCACAGGAAGGTGCTGAGTCCTCAGGTATTGTGTCACTGTGCTCTAAGACACACCAACATTGCATTCCACAAGAGCAAGAAAGGTGGAAGTACTAGGGCAGACTATAGAAAGAGGTTGTAATGTTCCCTTTGTATTGTGAGGAATTAAAACTTTAGGCCATTTCAGAAACCTGAACATAATTTGTCCAACAAGGTTTGTAATTTGTCCATCTTGATATCTCTTCAAGCCCAAATACCTCGTTTGAATACTTGATTTCATAACTTGCTGTAATGATTCACTGAAATATTGTGGTCTGTCATGATAGCCTCTGACTGCCCATGGCATTTGCTTTTGGAAAAATCACTTACCCGAAATGGGTATGTCCTAAGTGTCTTTGAACTTAAAAGCTTCCTTTGGAAGTTTTGGAAAATGTGCATTTCTGCTGAGTAATTCCAGCAGGATGATACTTGAAAGGGTTGGAAAGCAACTTCTGTGTGTGTCAGTGCCAAGATCCGTTGTTTGCTCTAAAGAGACTCCCCCCATCACAAACTGAAAGTCCTTTAGTAGTTGATGCTTATTTATAGGTTTATTTCAGCAGATGTAAAGGCATGCATTTAAAAATAAAAATATCTTCCTGAATCAGGAAGGCAACTGTAACCTACATTACTTGGCATTTTTCTAAAGTGCATCAAAACCTTGACTGTGAAACTGAGGTCCAGGAATATCTCAGTTCAATGCCATTGATTGAGGCAGTTTAACTGACCTGGCTTTATTTTGTTTTTAATGTGCATTGGTGCCAGCATAAAAACACTGATGCACATGTTTTGCCTTCTAAGGAACGAGATGGCTTTGGAAACTTGGCTGTTGCCCGAGGAAGAGGTCGTGGCCGTGGGGACTGGAGTGTTGGAACACCTGGGGGCGTGCAGGAAATCACCTACACTGTTCCAGCTGACAAGTGTGGCCTCGTTATAGGCAAAGGTGGGTTTGGGGACTCCAGATACCACAGCTTGCAGTCCTTCTCTCTCAGGATGGTCATGTTCTTGCTGCCTGACCGTGAAGCTTCGGGGTTTTCTGTGATTGCAGTGTTTAGTGCCCTGTGAATGCAGCATAGGAATAAGCTTGTAAGCGCTTGTGGTCGTTTCCTTTGTGGTGTTCTCACTCATAATTGTGTTCTCCAGGCCCTTGTTCACAAGCTGTAAGAGAAGCTCTTAATGCAGAGCTGTCAAATAAGCTTGTTTTATAACAAGCAGCTGGCTGAGAAAAGGCAGGTTCATTTGTGGATTCTTTTTACAGAGAATTTGTTTGAAGGATGGTTTATCAGGGACAAGCAGAACAGTCATTTCATCGTGCTGGATTTCTGTGAGTGCTGTGTGAGCAAATGGAAGGTCTCTGAGTGTGCTAATAACAGGAGCTGCTTCCAGCCCCTGAACTGTGTGATGAATGAAGTGAAGTAGGAGGATTTCTGTGCCTCTGCTGGCACCTGACCTGGCACAGAAGGCTGGTGCACCTTGTGCCACTTGGCTGAGCATGTTCACTGCCAAGTCACTGCCATGGACGATCCTTGGCTGCTTGGCCAGTGGATCTCTCCATGCTTAGAAGATGGATGAGGAGTCATCCTCTCTATCAGGACAACCCTGTGATGGTTATGAAACTGAACATCAGCAGCAGATTCAGTTTGTCACAGAGCAGGAGCTGCACGTGGGGCAGTGGCAGGACTTAGGGTAGAGCCAGGAGCAGACAAGCTCTCTAGCTCTGAACTGCTGTGATGTGTCTGAGCTAATGCACTGACCTATCTAAGGCAGTGTTTCATTTTTCTATCTGCCTATTTCAGAAAGAATGACATATGCCTGAACTAGTATTTAAGTAATCACAGCTGGCTTTCAGCCCCAGCAGAGAATAGAATAGGAATAGATAAGCTACAGTAGAAAAGGAGGCAGAGACTTGAGGGCATTGGGCCAAGTTTCAGTGGCTTTGAGTGTTCCCAGCAGGAGGGAGCTTGTGGTGTGACTTTTTGTGGCCTCTTTCCCTCTGCACATCCTTGCTGTTCCCTGCCATGGGCCTGTCCCCACAGCACCCTGAGCTCCTGCCCTGTTGGGTGACCAGGGACATGGGCAGGTCAGCCCTGTAGCTGCAGTTGTTTTCAGATGTTGTTTTTTGCCACAAGCCTGTTCACAGACCTGAAAACTTTTTTCAGTATGAAAAACCACCTGCTTTCCCCATTATGCAGAAATTGCAGTGATTATGCTTGTCCTCACTGAACAGTCCAGTTGGCCAAAAGATCAAGCAAAGTAAATTTTAAGCCCACGAGTGAGACTTACATGTACAGAAAAATCAAATTATAATGAAACTTTATTGCTGTATCCATTAGTCATCTTTAATAAAGGATCAGAAAAGGTCACTTGTTGTTCAGCAGTGCACTGAAGTGGAGCATTTGTGACTACAGAGAGCACTGTGTGCTGAAAAGATAAATGCAGGTAGTGGAGTGAATGTCCCAGCATTCAAGTGCAGGGCCTGGCACAGCCTCACTGGGGGGTGAAGGGTGGCTTTTTACCTTTGTTTCCACAACAGCAAAATAGGGATTCTTACTTGGCCAGATCAGAAGCTTTCTGGAGGGACTAATTACTAGTTGTATGGTGATTTGAGTGCTGGTAGCATTGTAATACCACCTTGTAATCGGTGTTCTCACAGTGCCTGTGCTCTTAGGCTGCTGCAGCCTTCACTTTTGTCAAGTGAGTGATGGCTGTGGTGTTGCCTTTTGGGGTCTGGACCAGCATGGATGTGCTGCACTCTCCACATATTGATGCAAGACAGGCAATTCTTGTTATTTCCACCCCCGCTGCCTGTGGGGCAGTGCAGGGCAGAGGGGATCTTAGTGGGGTTTTCTTAACAGTGACCAATTACAAAACCTTTGCACTCCCTGACAGTTTCTGAGCAGTTTCCAGCTGTTGGGTGTTTTTCTTTGCTGTGATACAGGATGGGGCTGTTGGCCTTCTGTGTAAAATCTGGCTGAGGACTGTGGGCCATCAGCTTGGTCTTGAGATCAGCAGCCAGGCAGAGAGTGCTGACCCAAATGCCCTGGACAGCCAGGTGTGGTGTGTGTGATCTGAGCTGGTAACTGCTCCTGTGCTCCCAGCTCCATGTGGCCACTCCAGAAGCAGGGAAAAGAGGGAGGCTGGGAAGTTTCTCAGCTCAGTTTCTGCAGCATACGTGACAGAAGACCTGGTGCCTTTTTCTTGTGGACATCTCAGCTTGGGAGCGTGAGCTTTTAGGAGTTGGCCTGCACATCCTGTGCATGGCTTTTTCCCCTGGAGGGTGGGAAGGTGCAGCTTTTCTTTCCCAAAGGCCCTGAGGAAGGGTGGAGGCGAGCACCATACACTTGTCAAAGTCTGTCTGTGTTTGGTGGTGCTTGGAAACAGCCGCTGGCTCCCTGGGCCCCCCTGGATTTCCATGATAAATACAGCAATCCTGACAGATACCGCGGCCGGCCTGGCTCTTGTCAGCTCGGCCTTTGAGCAGGTTTGATTAATTGCTTTAGGATTTCACATCCAGCCGGGAGGCCGCTCCTGGATCGCTCCTGCCCCCCATCAGGTGGAAGAATGGAGGGGATGAATGCTCTATAGACAGCCACCATGTGCCGAGCGGTCACCTCGCCGTGGGGAGGAGATTCCTTCCGGCACGGTGCCTGCGTCACCGCATTTGCATCCTCGGGAGGCTGGCTTGGGGTGGCTTGGCTGGGAGGGAGCACTTCCACATCTACCAGGCTGCAGGGGGAAGAGGACAAGGGCACAGAGTCCTTCTGGTGTGGGGGTAAAGCTTGCAGTCTCCCACCAAACCTGGAGAGGCAGCTAACTTAATTCTGCTGTGTGGTGTAGGAGGGAGCTGCTGCAGAAACAGGCCCAACAACCACAGGCTTGGTGCTGAATGCTAAATGGGGCAATGATTTGAAATCTGTATTCTCCTTGCTTCCAGTTTGAGAATGCTTCGATTTTTAATCCCCTTTTGGAAGGAGTAACTAGTCTGCAGTGCAAGTAGCAACCTCTGGTTGTGCTTCTGTCAGCCAGTAAAGAAGTTGTGCCATTCCTTCAAATTGTGTTGCCTGAAAGAGTCCTCTGTTTTCACTAAGCAAATGAAATGGCTGTTGATTCAGATCTCACCTCGATGTGTAAAAACCAGAGCTTCAAACAAATCTGCATCAGACAAAAGCATGACACAAAAAAAAAAACAAAAAAACTTCTTGGTTTTGAAACTTCATCTTACTCCTTTCCCATGCTTGACTGAAAGTAAGTGGGTTGGCTTTTGGCTGCACAGTACAATCCCTGTTGTCTGCCCAGGGATGTGACATGATTATCTTTTGTTAAATGCATCTTCAAAAATTCATTTAGAAAGAGTTAATTGCCCTTTGGCAACTTTTCCTCCTCCCTTCTCCAAGAAGGCTTTAAAATGTTAAAAAGGTCACGAGTCCATTACAATGAAATGAACAAGTGTCTGCAACATCCACAGTTTGTTTTGAAATTGTGCTGGATGTATAGAGATGGAAATGTGAGCAAAATTGAGGCGTTTATTTTTGGAGGGTCTTTTTAATGAAAACCAAACAAAAATCTCTGGTTAGTTTCCTTTGCTCTCTGTGCTGCTTGCTGTCTATCCTTTGAACTTGTGATTTTTTGGTTTGTGATTTAAAAGATGTAAAAGCCCTTCCTTCCCCACACCCTGTAATTTCTCCAGTTGAGTGGAGCTGGTCTGTAAGTTGTGTGAGCTTCCAAAAGAAGAATTGAACCATTGTAACATTGGCTGAGGCTTTTGTTAAGCAAATTTCATGAAGAGACCAGGACCTAGCAGGTCTTGAGGAAATCAGATCCACTTTGACTGGCCCTGCTGCATCCTGCTGGAAGCACTCCTGTGCTCTTGTGTATCCAGATGGCAAACGAGCCAGACATGTTCACTGCATGCACAGCTAACTCTGAAATAGCAGGAGACAGCCTGGAATAGAGTGCTGCCGTGGCTGTGGAGGGATGTGTGGCTGCAGGGTGAATAGCAAACCTTGTAAGCAGAGGCTGCTTTAAGGCAGTAACTTATCAAACAGCTCATGTTTGGGAGAGGGCTTCAGCTTTGTTATGTGGCTGGTGGCTTTTTGCCATAGTGATGGAAAAAAAGAAGAAAAACCAGCATGTTTAGATTGCAGGTGACCTTCATTTCCTAGAGGATTTGAGCAGCTGTGCAAAAGCAATGGAATTCAGTCAGTGCAGGTTTTGCAGTCAAAGTGTATCCCACTCATGCTGCATCTTGTTGGGAGCCTGGCAGTGGGCACTTGGGGCTTGTGTGTTCTTTAAGCAGCATCATCCATGACCCCAAAAACTGTTACAGTAGCTCAAGGTTTCAGGTTATGCTTGTGAAGTAGATTAAAGGAGCAGCATGAGCTCAGGTACTGCAGTTTCTTTTGCTGTTGCCATCCTCAGCCCACCTCTCCTGAGGCACAAGAAGGTGGCTGAAACTGGAATCCACTCCCAGGACCTGACTTTGATATGATTTTACAGAAAGAGATGCTGAATATCCCTTCTTATGTCTTGGCTTTCTTCTCTTCAGGTGGTGAGAACATCAAGAGCATAAATCAGCAGTCAGGAGCGCACGTGGAGCTGCAGAGAAACCCACCCCCAAACACAGACCCTGGTGTGAGAATATTCACAATCAGAGGGGTCCCCCAGCAAATCGAGCTCGCTAGACATCTCATAGATGAGAAAGTTGGTGTAAGTTCCATCTCTGCTCTCTTGCTCTGTCCCTTTCAGACATGCTGTTGTCACTCTTGGGTACATGTAGGCCTGGACTCACAGGATGGCACAGAATGCACGTGCTTGCATTGTTCAGCTTCAAAACCGTTTGCCTCTTAGCAGCTGGCTTGAACTTGATGGCCCTCCAGCATCCATTTGGTTAATTTTTGCTGTGGTCCCAGAAGGATTTGACTGTTGACATAATCCTGGGTAGTGTATACAGCTATTTGAGAGAGAAGAACAGCAATAATAAGGTATGAAAAGGCTGTCAAAGGAGATTTTTTTGAAAGGAAGACAATAGTGTCACTGTGTGAGAATGACACAGTCCTGGCAGCATCGTCCTGAAAGTAAAACACTCAACTCCTTGCTCAGTAAGTTCAGGATGACTTACCTTACACTTAATGCAGTGCAGTGGTATTGAGGCTTAGTAAAGTCAGGCTGCATTACTACTGAATGAGGAGACTTTGATAAAAAAGTATGAAAAATGCTGAACTGGGGCATGGCAAAGCTGAAAAGCTGCCTACGTGCTGAATTGGGAGGAGAAGGCTTGACACCAGCCTCAGGATCCACGTGTCCCAGGCTGTCTTCTCTCCTTTCTTACTACTCATAGTAGCTGCCTCCACCCTGTATTTGGAGCTGGCATTAAATATTTGTGGATTCTGTGGCAGGGTACCAGCATGGGTGGACCTGGAGGATTTGGTCAAAGTCCCTTCAGCCAAGCACCTGCTACACCTCATCAAAAGTAAGCTGCTGCATCTCCTCACCCATGGGCTGGGGGAATGGCTGGGAGCTAGAAAGTGCTGGGAGAAGGGTGGAGGGCCCTGAAGGGGTGGGGTGTGAGTGGAGCCTTTTAAAGATTGAGCATTCAGAAGCAAAATCAAGCGAGCTCAATCCTTTAAGCTTGACTGCAGGAAAAATTTCATCTATTAAATGGTGCACAGGTAGGTATTGGCATCTCCAAAATTCCTATCTCTAGTGCAGTGAGAGCATGGAAAGAAGCCTGAACTGCATAGAGCACAAGGAGTGCTGTTCAGTGTGATGTACCTTCACCTTGGCTTCATGAACAGATTGGTACCAAGGCAGGACACAGCAGTTCACACCTCACAGCTTTCCTTTTGCTGCCATGTTGCCTGTTTGATCAGCAGCTGCTGACTATAAGTGACAACTTCTCTTCTCTGGGCAGCTTCATGTCTGTGGCTTGGTAAGTATTTTATTGTCTATTTGAGCATGGCTTTTTGTCCTCTGCAGTGGTCCTCAGGCGTTCATGACACAGGGCTGGGGCAGCACCTACCAGACGTGGCAGCAGCCTGGACAGCAAGTCCCAAGTAAGTGCCAGGACCTGGGCTGGAGAAGGGTTGGTGTTCCCTTTGCAGTCTCTGCTCTGTGCCTGCAAAAGGCAGGTTCACCATGAGACCACGTGTGTGAAAACAGCAGAACAATTTCCTGAGCTGAGCAGAAGAGGTGTGTGGAGGCACACTGTGGTGGGTGAGCTCAGAACAAGCTGAAGGCTGTGGAAAATTTTTGCTTTTCGTGTGCTTAACTGCTTATTGCCTTTTTCTGCTCTTTGGGTAGAAACTTGGTCCTTGCTGTCTGTTCCTCTCTTAACAAAAACATTCCTGCCTCTGGCTCTCCCAGGATTCTCCAGGCAAGCACCTGCTAACCACACTTCCCCCTAACAGGCACATCGTTGGTGCTGATCCCTCCATCTCTTTGTTCTTGACCTTAAAATTTCTTGCTTATTTTCTTATTTAATTATTCCTTACAAGGTTTTCTCACTGTTCAATTTCCAGACTGATGGAACAACAGGGGAGAAAGGGATGCAGGAAATGGAAGGAAGGTTAGGCAGGGTTCCTGTACTGATCTTTTCTTCCTGAAAGTCTGAGTCAAAATTGAGCAGTTTGGAATGGGGAGTCGCCTTCTCAGAAGAATTCAAGTAGTAAATGCTGGTGATGCTGCTGTAGCTGCATCATCCTGTGTCTCCAACAGCTGAGGAATGGTTTCCCTGAGCAGAGCAGATTCATGTCTGCTTGGTAATCTCAAAGCTCATGTGATGGTGGTAGTGTCCAAAGGACCCTTGCAGTCACAATATTTTAAGAAATACAATTTTTTTAGTGGTCTGGTTTCATTATACTAAAGCACCAAAGTAATATTTTAAGAAATACAATTTTTTTTAGTGGTCTGGTTTCATTATACTAAAGCTAAGCACCAAAGGTGTATGGAGGGGTAATTTTAAAGGAGTTTAATGGCAAATGCTTTTCAGTGCTAAGGCTGATTTAGCAATCAAGCAGATTTTGAATTTTGGTATAAATTCCTGCCCTTTGCAGTGCCTGAGGTAGAGGAATCATTGCAGGGACAATGCCTGCAGTTGCACTTGTGATTCCCTGTAGCACTGATCACCTTTGAGTGTTTATGACATTGTGAATATGTGAAATTTGGGAATTGTAGTGCTGCTTTAACTTGCTGCACTTCTGAAATGTGTGCTGTGGTGGCACGTGGGAACCCTGCATGGAAAGTGTGTGTTAAACTCTGGATGAGTCCTCCCTCTTAGCAGGTCACAGTCCAGACATGATGAGTTTCCCTTTGAGCTCTAGGGTCTTGGAGAAGGTCAGCAGTTGTTCTGGTTTCAGCACATTAAAATGCAGTAATGGGCTTCAGTGGACTTTTCTTCTGTACAGGAGTGGAATAGTATGGTACTGAAGAAGAGTATTTTCTCACTAACTTGTTTTACAGGAAAAATTGTTATTCTACTCCTTTGCTTTGCACCCCCAAGGGCTCTGAACTTCCCTGAGCTTTGGGAAGCAGAGCACTCCACAAAAAAAGCTCCACAAAAAGATTTAACTTTTATCTTCCATAGAGCCTTGGAAGAAATGCTTGCAAAACTGCATTGCTCTTTGCCTTGTAAGATGCCTTTAGAAACTCACCTTGGTAACTTCATTTTTTCCTCTCCTTCCTGAAATATCCCCTCATGCTGCACACCAGTCCCTGGGGAGAGAATAATCTCCCTTCCTGCAGCAGATAATCATGTCTCAGGCTCACCCCTGCTGGCTTTGGAGCCTGGTGTGGGAAGCACAGCCCCCTTGAGCCCCCTGATGACCAATAATGCAGCTCATACTCCAGGGCAGTTTTGCACTGTCAGGTTTCAGGTGGCTCCCAAAACCCCTGGAGCTTCCTGCCATGCCATTGTCCTTCCCCATGTGGGTTTGGTCCCACACTGGTGCCTTTTGGAGGCAGATGTTTTATTTCTGCAGTTAAACCTGATGGAAAAGGTTGGCTCTGCAGTTCCATGTGTGCTTAGGATGCTCCCTGTTCCTGTTTGTAGCCAGGCACACTGAAGGCAGGCTGAGGAGAGAGAGCACACACATAATGCTTTAAGAACCTTCACCACTCTTCTCTGCCCAGATGGAACTCACCCAGATATAGGAGGATTGTTGTAAGAAATAGGTAAATACCTGCTTTTGCACTTTTTAATTTGAAAACAGCCTTGTGCAGGGTCCCTTGCCCAAGTGCTGCAGCCTGTGTGTCACAGCTCTGTCAGCGCTGTCACAGCGCCGGCGTCCTGGGGACAGCCTCGAGTGCCCTCCTTGTGGGAGGAGGGGCAGACCCCCACCCCCTACACATGTATTTAGATTTTAATTACTTCCCCCATCTTAAATAAATTAACTGGCTGGGGAAACATTTTGCTGTGAAATGCATTTAGCTGCGTGTCCTTTCAGCCTGCTGTGGACTGTAATTCTCCGAGAAGAAAAGGCATTGAAGGAGGTCCTTTGTTGGCATTAGCAGGTGGACAGTTGAGGCAGCCTTGACCTCTGCCAGAAAAGGTCCTGACTTGTAGCGTTGGTCAAGTCTTTTAACCCGCTTTTATGCCCCTGGACAGGACACTGCTGCCCTGTTCCCTCCACCCACTTCACACTTGCAGTGTATTATTTTCCCCCTTCCCCCCACTTCAAAGCCCCCCTTGGGCCGGCGTCGGGGCTGGGCTGCGCATGGAGCTGGGATGGGATGGGAAGAGCTCTGCTCCACGCGTGGCCTCTGTCCTTGCCTCTCTCCTTGTCCCCAGTGGCTCGTGCTCCCCACTCCTGCCGTGCCTCTCTGCAGCTCCCAGTTGCTGTGTTTGCTGCTTGTGTGTCCTGTGTCTCACCGAGGGCTCCGTGCTCCCGCTGGGATCCAGGGAAGCGTGGGAAGGGCAGGTACCCTTCCTCTGTCCCAGCTGGCCGGGCTGTCCCTGCTGTAGCACTTGGCTGTGCTGGGTTGAAGGTGCCTTAGTGCTTCGAGGATGGGGAGTCTGTGCTGGGTGGAGCCCAGATGTGGGATCTGAGAGGAAATGCTGGCACTGCTTCCCTTGGAGCAGTGTAGGAGCCTGGAGATGACACCATGAGCCAGCTGTGGCTGTTTGGAATGTCGTGGCTGCCTCTTCAGTGATGCCTGGGCTGTGCCCCGTGGCCAGTGGAGATGGCTGTGCCCTGGGCTGTGCCCTGGGCAGGGCTTGTGGCACCTTGAGGAGTCGGGAGCTGTGTGACTGCCCCAGAGTTGTGCAGGTCATGCTGTGGAGGCTCATGTGTGTGCAGGGTGTGTGGAGGGGCATTGCTCACAGGGGTCCCTCAGCTCTGCTCCACTGAGAAGAGCAGGAGTGAAGGATACAGCCCCTGAGAAACAAGTGAGGTGACTCAAAACATGGCTGTTCCCTTGGCTGCTCTGTGGTGCAGGTGACAGGTCTCAGCTATGTCAGGTGTCTCAGCTCTCCTGCACTGAGTGCAAGCAGACTGGCAGCCCAGGGTGGCTGATTGCAGACTGGACAGCTCCCAGCCATGTGCTTTGGCTTGAGCAGGTCTCAGCAGGGTGACATTTGGCTTCATGCCCTTCAGCAGGTGAGGTGAGATCAGGAATTCAAGCTTTTCGTCAGCTTCCACTGAACTGAAGATGCCCAACACTGTAGAAAAGTGAAAGCTGAAGTGTCAAGTCTGGGCAACTGGGGTAGACCCAGGGCCTGTCTAATGGAGAGACAGATGTCACTGGCTGGAAACTGTCACCTCTTCCATACTGACGTGCCCCTTGTTGTCATCTTTGCACAGGCCAACAGAGCCAGCAGCAGAACAGCCATCCCGATTACAGCAAAGCATGGGAGGAGTATTTCAAAAAACAGAGTGAGTGAAACAGGCTAACTGGAGATGAATCAGCTCTGGTTACAAGGAGTTAACTCTAATCCAATGACTTGCCTCTCCATCCCTGCCGTTTTTAGCTTCCAGTCCTTTCCAGATGCCTCTGGCCCTGCCCTGTTGGTGATGGTGCATGTAGTGCTCCCACGGAAAGCTCTCGGTTGTGCTGTCGCGTCTCGGGAGCTGAGCCCCGCTCCCCTCGTGCCCATGCTTGCAGCCAGCCTGCCTGGGGAAACACAGAGCACGCAGGAACTGCTGCTGGCAAAATCCAGAGAGCTGGAGCTGGGTTGTGAGGGTAGGAGAGCTCATGGAAGGTCACAGGCCTGGCTCTCCCCACCGTGTTATGGAGTGCATGATCCCGACCTCTGGACTTGCTTTGACATGGAGCTGCTGGAGGCTTTGCGCCTTTGAGGATGAGGGGTGTGCAGGCTGTCAGCCTGTCCCTGCAGCTGCAGGAACACTCTGGGTGCTTTCTGCCTGCTCTTGGCTTGTTCCTCACAGTCCAGCTTGGAGCCCATCCTGCCATCCCACGCAGCGGAGCCGGTGTCGCTCTGTCAGGTGTCTGCAGCAGCTGGAAGGGGGCTGGCTCTTCATTAAGCTTGGCAAAAGGAGATCCTAAACCTGGGCTTGGACTTCTGGAATTGCTTATCTCTTCCTTTTTTCTTCTTTCCCTCCAGGTCATGCTGCCAGTGCTGCTTCTCAGGCAAGTTCCCAGCCGGACTACACGATGGCTTGGGCAGAGTATTACCGACAGCAGGCTGCCTACTATGGGCAGACACTAGGGCAGGCTCAGGCCCACAGCCAGGTCTGTATTCACCTTCCCCAAACCCCTCTGCTCCTTCTCTTGTGTAACTGGGTATATTGGCCTTGCCCTAGTGTAGGGACTCTTCTTCAGGCTCACATGGTGAAGCAGAGATGTTTTGTGGCTGAGGAAGTGATCACAGAAGTGTTATCTCAACATCAAAGTCTTACTTTCCTGTACAGGGCGGGTCAGGGTTTTTTTGGGAGAGGACTGGGAGATTATTTGTTCTGGGAGCCTTTCCTTATAGTCCCCAGGCAATTGTTTGACTTTGGGGAATTAAAGTGAAAGGAATGATGAAGCCAGGCTGGTGAAGGAGCACAGCACTGACCCATCCCATAACTGAGAGTGCAGGCGCTGCCTTTTCTCATGCTGGGACAGGAGCTGCGTGCTCACCATCTCCCTGTCCCAAAAGAGACCAAAACCGCTGAAAAATAATTTGTATTAACCTGCTTTCGAGTAGAATCTCCTCTCAGCTGTCACTCAGTGTGACTCTCAGCACCGAAGAGTTGTGTGAGATTTATCCTGATCGCACTCGGTGCTTCACGGAGCAAACAAAGCGACAAAAAGTTGTGCAAAGCACAGGGGCACCTTGCTGTGGTCTGACACTTGTCCCCACAGCTCCACATTTAGCTCTGGCTCCCGGGAGCAGAGGCTGCTGTGGATGCCAGCCCCCAGCAGCTGCTCTCCCCTGCTCTCCCCGCTCACACCGGCGAGGTGGAGCCGGGCGCCGGCGCTCGCCGCGGGCGCTGGCCAAGCGTGAGCTGCACACGGTGATGAAAGGGCTTCTCTTCATTCCTCCCCGAGCCTGCCCTGCTGGAGAGAGGGATCTTTGGTGAGGGCAGGAGAGCTCTGGGACAGCGCTGGGGCAGAGGGCTCTGGTGGCTCAGAGCATCCTTTGAGCTCCGTTTCCCGCTCAGCTGCAGCGGGGACAGACCTGTGCTGGGGGGAGGGCTCGGCCGCTTGGATAATTTCCTGCTGCTCAGTAACTTTTCCTTTTCTCTCCTCTCTTTCTTTCCAGGAGCAGTAGAACAAGGTCCTCGTGGCAATTTTTTTTCCTTGGAATCGTTGTGGAAGAAAACCTTTTTGTAACAGAGGTTTCTAGATTTACAACATTTTGATGAAGACTTTTCTGTTTGTGAACACTAGCTGTAGGATAATCTATACTGAACTTTTCTAAGAATCAGGAACAATTAGTAATGTACTAAACATATGGACATGCTGGTAATTTTGTTTCCAAATTTATATTAAAAAAAAACCTCCAGGATTCTTTTTGGAGAGAAGCCAGAGAATTTGGAGGCACCAAAACACACCCCAGAGCTGTGACATTTCAACATGTGGGTTTTTTGTCTGTTGTTTTTTTTTCCTTTTAATTTTCGATCATTTCTGTTGGAACAGAAAGAGTGGCTTGGAAGTCTTAGGTGGTATGTAACAAATCTTAAAAAGAAAAAAAAAATTTAAACAGTATTTAAATATTCTTAAATATGTAAATTCATTAAATGTTTTACTTCTAATTTCTTGTATCTTGGCTGTCTTTGATTTTATTGCATTTTTAAAAAACTGAACTATGATATGTATTGTAATTAATGATATGATTTCTGTATTTGAAACAGTTACTGTTTGCAAGTTGGGGGGGGCATTTTGTAGGGTTTGTATAATTTCTAGAGTCTAAAGGGGTAATATAAAAATGTGTTAATTTTTTTAGCAATACATGTTTTCATGTCTCCATTGCTAGTTGCATTTATGTATCTAAGACCTCCAAGCTTGTTAAAAAAAAGAAAAACAAAAAAAAAAGAAAAGAAAAAAAACTTCTTCTATGCTCTCAGAAATATAAATACTGTTATTTTTAATATTAAAATGAATCTGCTATTAGTACCTTTAACAAACACTGTGGAACATAAAACCGTATAAAAGGTAGTAACTATTTTTTAATTCCAAGGTGTTTTCTGCTTTTTTGTTTCTTTTAAATATTTTCTTATCTAATATTTGTCAAATTACCTAGAGAAATAAATGAATCTAGTATTAACCACAGTATGCGCTAAATAATTTTGATTTAATAAAAGGGATAATATGATTTCTGATGTTTACTGTAGTGTTTCTTGTACAGATAACAGTGTATTTTTAAAGGAAAAACGGAATTGAAGCTATTTTTTCTTGCATTTTTAATTGCCCTGCGGGACATTCCGTTTTTAAATGTACTGAATTTACTGTTCTTGGGTTCTTTCCTTATTTTTCCTTATGCTTGAAATGTCTAACTATAAAGAACCGCAATTGGATAATGTTGAGCATGGTGTTTAAAAAAAAAAAGTGTTCTTTTTATTTGACTGACAGTTGCATTTTACACTCTATATAATAAAATTTCCACAAGGTGTCTTGTGGGCCAAGTATTTCCCGTCTGTTGGACTCCGTTGTTCCCTCTCCGCCGACCCCGGCTCCTCGCGCCGTGTCCCGGGGAGTTTGGGGTGTCACCGAGGGCAGCATCAGCATTAATTCTGGAGAAACTCTGTCACTGTCACATCCCCTGGTGTTGTTCTGGAGAAACTCTGTCACTGTCACATCCCCTGGTGTTGTTCTGGAGAAACTCTGTCACTGTCACATCCCCTGGTGCTGCGACACCGAGGATTCCCGTGGAAGTTTGTGTCATTGCCGCTCTTTGGGCCAGAAGGGTCTGTGTTAACACCAGGAGGTTTCCTCTGCAGCTCTGTAAGGGTTTTACTGTTGAGGAGTTGGCAGCTCCTGGTTTTAAGGCTCTGCACTTGTTGCTCTTCCCCAGCTTTGTGGCTGAATCCATCAGGATCCGTCCCTGCACGGGCATTGCTGGAGCAGCAGCGAGGACAGGGATGGGAGGAACGTGGCTCCGGCCATTATTGGCTGTGTTGAGGGCATTAGTTGTGCCCAGGCCAAGTTTGGCGATAACTGTAGCTCCTTCAGGGATCCTTTTCTTGTAAAATGTGAGTTTTGAGCTCCTCCTGCCTAAGGCAGCTCCGTGCCCTGCTCCCAGGCAGCCGTGGGGGTTTGTGACGGGGGAAGGGAGGAAAGAAGATCCCATCTGCAAAGCCAGGAGCAGGAGGCGCATTGAGAGCCGGAAGAAAAGGAGATGTAGCATCTCTAAATATACCTCCAGAGAATCAAGAGAGACATTGAAAGATGGGATAGTAAAAGCCACTTGGAAAGAGGGGAGAGGGGGGAAAAAATGGCTAGAGGAGGGCATAAAGGCTGCTGATGGGAATTGGGAGCGGGCATTACCGAGAAGACTTCCTTCTAATTCATCTTCCAAGCTCTGTGCCAAAACAGCATTTGGCATGGTTCACAGGGAGCAATTGTGTGATAATGAACCCTAAGGTGTCCCTTAATTGAAGACTGAGGATTACAGATTGTGCCAATAGTCGTAAATGGCGCAGGATTGTGGGAGGATGCATTTTCTTAAATGTATCTGTAAGTACAGATGAGTGAGTCTCCCCAGTGAAATGCCCCTACTATAAATTATGGAAATATCTCTTTCTGATGCAACCTTTTATTGAGGGGGTGGGGCAGCAGCACAAGAAATAGTTTGCAAGCCTTTGAAATTTGGCCTGTCATTAAGATGGTGCCTGCAAAGCTGGGGTTTCATCAGCAGTCTGGTGTCCTGGAAGGATGAAGTGCTTGAAACGTTCCCAAGTTCACCAATTTGTTTTCCATTATTGCTGCCTGCTCTGGGCAGAGAGTCCCTGGATGTTGAACTGTTGTGAGTCCACGATGGGCTGGAGATGCCTCAGCCCTTCATGAGGTTCCTCCAAGCCTCTGGGTTCCTCCAAGCCCTCCTCCAGCCCTGCTGCTTTCCTGTCTGTGTCCATCCAGGGTGTTCTGGGACTGGTCTGATTGTCACTCCCAGCCCTCACCCTTCACTCTGGGGCCTGCAGGCAGCTCCTCATGTCCTGGCTCAGGTGTGTGGTGCAGCCCAGAAGCTGCTGTGGTGCCTTCAAAGCCAAGTCTGCGTGTCCAGGGGAGGAACCAAATCTGCTCAGCTCTGGGCAAATTAACCCCAGGTAATGTGGATTAAGGCCAGGCTGCGCTGGGTTTTGGGGCAGGGAGGGTCTGTCTGTCCCTTTGGCAGGAACTGGAGCAGGAGCAGTCCCTGAGGGCTGGGCAGGAGCTGGCAAGTGGGACACACTGGGACTTTGGGGTCCTTGGATGGTGATGGGGATGGTGCAGCCTTTTCCTCCTCGCAGGGAGCCAGAGCCCAGCACTGGGCCATGCCAGGACAGAATCCTGGGGGGCAGTGAGGTGATCCCATGAGAAACCTTCAGGTTGGGGAAGGCTCAGCCTCCAGAGTGTGGCATTTGGGAGGAGCAGGACTGGAGTCAATGGCCCTGGCAGGAGGTGCCCAGCCCCTGTTCTTTGACAAAAATCCTCAATCCCTCTCCAGAGTCCTTGGCTCAGGCACACGATGGCTCTGCTCCCCCAGAATTAATCCATCTCACTTCTGCCCAGCAGCACAGCTTTGCTGGCTGTGTGGGGGTGTCTGGACCCCCCAGGCTGGCAGCACCCACCCCACGCTGCAGGCAGAGCCTGAATCCTGAGCAGACATTAACTGTGGTCCTTCTGCAAACCCCTCCTGAGCAGCAGCCCTAAAAACCCTGACACTAAAGCATCTCACTGAGTCCAGGATGACCCTGATGCTCTCCCGTGCTCTGTATTTGGTGAGCCTGAACAGGAATGGCTCTTTTAGGAGTGGGAAACTTTGAGATAGACTAAAATACTTTCATTTTGCATGATTTGAGAACAAACTACATTATGGCCATTGCGAGTTAGACCGAAATGACTGTTGAAAGAGACAAGATGTGGGACCTTTTTTTCCCCCTTCTCCAAGTGTTAAATATTTAATTGCATTAAAAGAACGCTGTATTTACAGTAATGGGCAGCGTGGTCAGAGTGAGAGCTCCTGGTGTTTAACATGGAGCTTTCCAACAGGATGTGGATGTTCACAAGGTCCCACCTGCACTGCTGCTTCTCCCCTAAACCCACCTGCTTCCTCCCACTCTCAGGGGGATTTTCAGGGCTGTTGGTGTTTGCAGGGTGAGGAATTGGGATCTTGCAGTGTCAGTGTATCCTATCATGCAGCACCTGGGTGTTTACTCCACGCAGGAAGCTGTTCATCCTTCATCTGGCTGGTTTGGAGGTTTTTTCACTGGATTTGCTGTGGGTAGCAGCAGTGCAGGGTGCCCATGGCGGGCAGCGTTTCTCTGCTCTCATAAGGCTGGAAATGACACAAAAGAAACTTTCCAGAATTTTAATGGTGGAAATGAGCAGAAATTGGTGTTGTGTGATGTGAAGATGAGCTGAAAGAGCCACAGCTCCCGGGTCTGTTGGCAGGAGGAGAGAGCGGCTCCCGGAGCCAAGGGCAGCGGGGGGGCAGCGAGCCCCACCCGAGTCTGGGCGGCTCCTCAGCGGGTGCTGGGGATGGAGGAAGATGGCAGAGGGGAACCAGCCATCCCTGGGATGAAGGATTTGGGGCAGAGGGTGCCAGATCTGCCCTGCCACTTCCCTCCAGGTCTGAGGCACCATGTACGAGGCAGGTGACCCAAAAGAGCATCTCCGGGGGTGATGCGGGGGCAGGTACCAACAGCCCCCAGATTATCTTCCTACCCTGCCCCTTATCACTTGAGGAAATCCTATTTCAAGGCCGCTCTAATGAAGCCTCTGATCTCTGCAGAGCCCGGCTTGCTCCCCTTTAATCCCGGCCGGGCCGGGGTGCAGGTGCCGCGGTCCCGGGGATTAGACGCTCCCTGCCCTTTGTGGGAGCCGTCACTCAGCGCAGCCTCCCTGTCCGGACCATTCGCCAGGGAATATTGAACTTTGCTGCCGTGGAGTCGTTACACGGGCAGGCCGGAGCCGCTGTTCTGTTTGTTTTGGGGGAAACAGAGCTGGGGAAGGGCAGGAGCTGCCGGAGGACTCCTCAGCCCCACGCCGGGGTCACCCGTCTGCCGGGCAGCCCCGTCCCCCACCCCTGTCCTCCGCCTCGCCCGTGCCAGGGCTCGTCCAGCCCCGCGGCCCCGGGGCTGTGGGAAGCCGTGGCTGGCTGTTGGATCCTGGTCCTGCCAGCCTCACCTGCCCTCTCCCGCCGCCGGCTCCTGCAATTCCCCCGGTGCAGCCGGCCCGTGGGTTTGGCAGCTGCTGGAGAGGCTCGGCCGGCGTGGCCCTGGCTGCGGGCAGCAGAGCAGGGCAGGGGGAGCAGAGGGGCTCACGCACAGCCCCACACACTGTCCCCTCGGGCACCTCTCCCGGCTGATGTCTCAACGCAGTCCGGGTCACAGCCCGCAGCTGGAGTGGAGCTGATGCTGCAGGAGGGATGGGATGTGGGACAGACGCCGGTGGGATGCGGGATGTGACTGTCCCGTCCCCAGATCACTGCCAGGAGGGAGGAAAAGGCGCAGAGATTTTCTTGTCTTTGCAGTTCTCATCCCCGCTCTGTCCCTCCGGCCACCCCGTGCCACCGGCCCTGCTGCCGAGCCGCGGAGGTGGCCGAGGAATCGCCGCCGCGATTCGCCACGACCGTGCTCCCTTTCGAGGCCGCTGGAGCTCGGACGCAGCTGGGAAGGTGATTTTCTTCCTCTTGCTCTTGCGTGCCGTGACACCCTCGCCGAAACAATCCTGGAAATAATACTTAAAGGAAAGGAAGGGGGGAAAAAAAGGCAAGGAAGCGAGCGAGAGCGCAGGGGAGAGCACTCAGCATCTCTGCTCGGCTCCGCGGCCTCCCGCAGGGTGAAATGGAGGCAAATAATGCCCAGAGCTCCTTCCCGAGCAGCGCAATCAGCCCGCGGCTCCAGGGCTGCCGTGCCCGGTGCCGCAGCGTTTACCGGGAGGGTCGCGGCTTCACCGCCCCAAACCCTCGGTGCCCGGAGCCGCTGGGTCCCTCCCCACTGCTCCCAGCCCCGCGGAGGGCAGCAGGGACACGTTGGCAGCGCGCGGTTTGGAGGGAAACAAGGAGCCATTCAGCTCCATCCATGGATGTGGCACCTTGGGCACGGTCACTCTCTTTTTGCCCCTGGGCAGGTGGCAGCGCATCCTCCTCACCCTGTGCTCTGTGTTGGCGCTGGCATGGGGAACGCCGGGGGCTGCTCTGAAACAAGGGGTGCACCCATGGGGACCCCTCCTCGGTGTCCCAGCCCAGCCACGGCCCCTCTGGCCCGGGATGAAGCTCCCCAAGTGATGATGCAGGGGTGCTGCGTGGGGCGGGTGAAGGCACAGGTGGGAAGTCCCACCCTAGAGAGGGAACACGCCAAGGATCCGCCGGCCCCCTCAGCCCAGGCTCACCCTGGGCATCGCCTTGTCCTCGCCTTGTCCTCCCGCACTCCCTGCTCCGCTGGTGGGAGCGTTCCCGGGCGCAGGTAACATTTGGGCACATTCCCATAACCGAGTGTCACCAACTGCTGCGGCGGCAGGGCCGGAGCCCCTCTCCAGTGCTGCTGTTTGCTTTGCAGCCTCCTTAGCCCCCATTGAGGCTTTTCAGCTCCAGCCCCTTCAGGGGGTTTAAGTAGGTAAAACCTGAGGAAGAGGCTATTTTCCTCCCTCCCTTTTGAGCCCTGCCTTGTGCCCAAAAGGCCCCCTTGTTTCACGCGTGCCAGTCACCTGGCTGGGCCCCCAGCCCCTTTCTCTCCCAGCCTCCCTTTTCTTTCTCCTTTCTCTCTTTTGACTTTTCCAGGAGCCCTCGCTCTCCAAACGAGCTTCAGATTGGATCCAGATTGAGGTCCCTTTGTCTTTCAAGGGTTGTACTAAGCTAATTAAATGTGATCCCAACAAATAAACGCAGATCTCCCCATTACATTCAGGCCTGCCTTTCAGGCAGCACCGGGCGGCCCCTCGCCCCCGCCCGCTCCGCGCAGGGTCCCCCTCATTGAGTCCTGGCCATTGAAAGCACTGCCAGGATTTCTTTTGTGCCGGGGGTCTCCGAGCCCTTTTTCCATCAGAAAAGACCCCCAAACAGCAGCTCGGCCTTTGTGAGTTTGCAAGCAAACGCCAAAGAAAAGCCCCCTGAATGCTTTAATAAATGACACATTTAGCAACTTCGGAGGCGCCTGGCTCCTGCGGCAGCCGCAGGGGTGCGATGATCCCTCCTGCCCCGGCTCCCCCGGCTCCCGCAGGGGTGCGATGATCCCTCCTGCCCCCCTTTCCCTCCGGCTCCCGGGGCATTTGCAGCCCGTGGAGGCGCAGAGGTTGCGGCCGGAGCAGCTGACCACCTCGGCTCCCAGCCCGGCTCTCCGCCGTCGCCCTTTCCCGGCGCTCGGGGGGCGCACGGAGCAGGTGATGGGGTCGGCCGGGCCGCCCTGCGCCGGCACCGGGCACCGGGACAGCGGGCAGCGGGCAGGGCGCGGCGGGGCGGCCGGGGCCGGGGGCTTTTGAACTCAGACCCCACGGTCCCTTCGCCTCGTATTAGCGCTGGCAAATCCAAAATCGTTTTTAATGACACATACCACCCCCCCACCCCACCCGGGATCCGGGCTGCGCTGGACTTTTCTCAGCTCAACTAATATCTTTTTAATGACTTTGGGAGGGGGCAGAGCCCGGCTCTGCCCTAGAGCCTGGATTGCTCCAAACAGATGTTGGGGCAGAGGGAGGGGGATGCTCTTCCCTGCCAGGGACTTTCTTCTAAAGTTCAAACGAGAGGGGAGCTTTCAATCACCGCTAAAAATGTATTTCTCCCCATTGAACAATGGGCTCCTTTCTGCGCCCGAGGGGACTCGGCTGCGATCGCGTTTCTGCTGCCGGAGAGGAGAAACCTCCGGTTTTAGGGCGAGAAAAACTCAGCTTCGAAAAGGGTTCTTCCCTGCGCCGGTTATTTTCGTAGCTCTGCATCCCTCATGCGTTCTACCCTGTACGTAAAAAAAAAAAAAAAAAAAAAAAAAAATTAAAATAATACAAAATTGTACTAACGAAGCACTAATCCCCCTCCTGCGCTGCAGCCTTCCCCGCCGCACAGGAGCCACCGCAGACCTTGCAGCGAAGCCGGGCAGTGAATGCGGGGTTTGAGGAAAGGATCGCGGCTGCACCGGCCCGGGGCAGCGGCGGCTCCATCCCCGCATCCCGGCTCCATCGCCGGCGGCCCCACAAGAGTTAAATTTTAAAGCAAATCAAATTCCCATTGGCCACTGTATATTATCTCAGCAGTCTTCATTTGATACCTCTTTAATACAGAAAGGAGCTTTTCAAACCCCTTTTCTCTCTTTTCTCCCCGCCACTCTTTAAGAGCAATAAATGTTCAACTGCAATAACTATAAATCAATCTCCGCTCTGTTCAAATCCTATTCATGCGAAGGGCTGGAAGAGGGGAGAGAGCTCCCCCCTCCCCCCCGCCCCCCAAAAAGCAGCTGCTGGGCTCTAATCTCCTTTCTTGCACTGTCATTCACCCTCATTTTTCCTCCATCACCCCATCCCTGCAATCTTTTCTTGTTTTGCTTTTCTTTTCTCTCTTTGCTGCATTATGATCCCATGTCTCCCCTCATCAGACCCCAACCTTGTCCAGATCCTGACCATCCCCTTGTAGGCTGTGAAAGAAAAGAAGAGTCCATGGATGTCAAATTGGTCTCAAAAAGACCATGAAAGATTGATTTGCTCCACTTTTCTTCTGCCTGACATTATTTCTGAGGGTCCTGAATGGGAAACCAGAAAGTCTGGGACTGGAATAAAGATGTTCTCTCTGTAAGGGGGAGACGGGGGGGAAAAATGCCCATTTACTCCTGGCCCATCAACCCTGCAAAACAGAGCAAAAGAAAAGAGGACTGTGGCTATTCAGAGTCAGACCAATATGTACACCTCCCAACAATATGCCAATATACTGAGGGCTTCTCTATTAACACCCATGAATATTAAAGTGCTCACTAAACGCTCAGAAGGAACTTTGGGAATATACACATGAAAATACAAGCAGCATTGTGCGGGGCTCAGAACAATGGGGCGGCGATAATGGCCCTTCTCTATTAACAGCCATGAATATTAAACTTGTTTCCTCTTAAATGTTAAAAAGGAGGGATAGCTGCGATATTAAAAAAGAGAAATGAGTAGGGGGTAAGGGGGGGGGGAACACACAGCAAAGCACCTTCCTAGGACCGGGAAGAAGCTTTGGGAAACAGCTGGGGATATTTAAAACCACGCAGAAAATGGAAGATTTTTTTTTTCCACCTTTTCCAACCACTACCCCCCCGCACCGCAGAGCTCCCCGCAGCCGGGAGCGGGGTTCAGCGCAGCCCGCACCGGAGCCGCAGGGGGTTCAAGAGCATCTATTATTTTTTTTTTGTCCCGGGATAACTTGAAGGTTGAAGGGTTTTCCTGGGGAAACGGGAATAAAAATAAATAAATAAATAAATAAAAAAAGCAATCCGATGACTGGCTTGCCTCGGCGGCTGGAGGGAGCCGGTGTTGGGAACCTTTCCACCTGATGCGTTATATTTAGCAAGGCTGAGATATTCTGACGGCTCCTCTAGCCAAAGTCCAGAAAAACAAAATAAACTTATTTTTTACGCTTATTAAACCCCAAACCAATCCCTGGCAGGTTGTTAACATCCCCTTTCCAGGACAGCGCTGCCTCTCGCCGGGTGAAGACCCGAAAGTAAGAGCAGGTTTGGGTGGGTTCCTGACATCTGCTTTGCTTCTTGATCGGATTAATAGAAATAATTGCACATGGGTTGTAGCATCATTTCACCCAGGCCAGAAGACACTCCACAATTTCACCCTATAAGACACCCACCCAGGGGAGAGGCTGGGGGTTTGGGCTGTGCGTGGCTGCTGCTCCGGGCACGGCGGGACCCGGCGGGGCTTCCCGGGGCTCCGGGGTGCGGGAACCGGCCTTTGAGCGCCTGAGGACCTTGGGGGCCCAGCCTTCTTCCCGCAGCCCTTTACAGCCCCTCGTCCCCATGAAAATCAAAAGAACAAGGCTAAGGAGAGGGCTCTAAGCTCCGACACAGCAGGACTAGGTTTAAATCCGGGAAAGATTAACCCTTTGCTGAGCCGGCAAAGCTCGGGCCCCGAGGGGAGCGCTGGGTTTGGGGACACCGCTCTGATGCCGCCTTGACGGGGAGCAGAGGTGCCTGCGGAGCTCCTGGGCTCCTGGACGGGCGCCGTGGCTGGCCGGGGAATGCCTTCGGGTGCGGGGACAGGGTGAGGCGGCGGCAGAGCCCCGGAGATAGTGCAGCCTCGCCGGGGTGCGGGTCCGGCCCTGGGGGAACCCGGCAGGGCATGGTTGCTGTTGCAGGGAGACGGGGGATCCACGAGCGCTCCCCAGTCCACACCTGGGTACAATTCCCACGGGGATGTGGGGTCGGGGACCGGCCGGGCTGGTGGCGGCAGCCGGGTGAGCCCTGCCTTGGGGTCAAGCGGGGATCAGCCCCGGGAGCGCGTCCCACCCTCGCCGTGCTTGGGGACCCTCTCCTGGCATTTGGGGGAGCAGCGCCGCAGCCTCCCTGTGTTGCCGGTCCCGGCTGGGAAAGCCGGGGATGCGGGGGGCAGCGGGGAGCCGAGCACGGTCGGGACCAGCTGCGGGAGCCTCAGCCCGTTCCCCCGGGGCTGCGAGGGCCAAACGCCGCAGAGCACTGGGAGCTGTCGGGCTCGGGGCCGCCGATTTCGTTGTGGTGCTCAATGGCCCCAAAGCGCAGCGTTTCAGTCCCAAAACGAGCGCGGGGGACAGGTGGGGAGGGGGACCGTGCCCGAGGGTGCGCCCCGTCCGTGGGACACCGGCGGGGACATTTCTGCTCGTTTCGCTGCTGTTCTGCCGTGCCCGGGGGCAGGTGCCCGGGTTTGGGTTTGCCCGGGCCGGGAGGTGCGGGGGGAAGAGCCGGTGCGTGTGTGTGTATCGGTGTGTGTATATGTGTGTGTGTGTATCCTGTGTGTGTGTTTGTGTATGTGTGTGTGTGCGTGTGTGTGTGTGTGTGTGTGCGTGTGTGTGCTCGCCGTGTCCCTCCCTCCCTCCAGCCACCCCACCCCCGGGAGGGGAGGGAAGGAGGAGATGGGAGGGGGGGGCTCCGACGGCTCGCCTCGCTCCGGCAGCCCCAGTCTCTCCGCCAACGTCAGGGAGGTCATTAATAACCAATTAGGAGGGTCAATGAAGCTCATATATAGCCGGACGGGAGCCGCCGAGCCGAACGGAGCCCAGCCCGCCGCCCACCGCCCGCCGCGCCCGGCCCCGTCGCGCTCGGCCCCGCCGCCTCGCCCCCATGATGGGCTCGGTGCTGCCCGCCGAGGCCCTGGTCCTCAAGCCTGGGCTGAAGCCGCAGGGGCTCTCGCTAGCCGAGGTGATCACCTCCGACATCCTGCACAGCTTCCTCTACGGCCGCTGGAGAAACGTCCTGGGCGAGCAGCTCTTCGAGGAGAAGAGCAGCCCCAAGACAGCCTTCACAGCCGAAGTCCTGGCTCAGTCCTTCTCCGGAGGTGAGTGACCCCCCCGGACCCTCCCCGATCCCCCCGGTTTCCCCCATCGGCCCCGGGCCGGCTCCCGAGTCCGGCGGCGGGATGCGGTCCCGGCGCCCCGCTCTCCCCAGGCGTGGGACTGGGGAAAAAGGGCTTTAAATTCATTTGGTTAACTTGGGCTTGACCTGAGAAAGTTCCCACTTAAACCGCGGGCTGGGGGGGCCGGGGCCGTCCCGCATTCAGCCGCCCGGGACAATATCTTTTCTCTCGCCCCGGCATCGCCGGGGCGTCCCAGCTCCCTTTTCCCCCTCTCGGATTTCTGTTCCTCTCTTAATTTACCATGAAGGCTAATTCCATTTCCATTCACGATATGTCAACCATCTCATCTCCCCATTTTGTAAGAGGAATTCCTGGGCCCTTTTAAACAAGCCCTCGCGCCATTCAGGCACAATGTACCGCTACAGCATTCCTAAAGGACTAATGAATTTAGAATTAGCAATTTCTTTCTAGTTGAGTTTAATGAATGCAGATCACTTTAACAGCATGACAAATTGCTGGATGGGCCGAAATAGACACCATTTAACCTCCTTTCCCAGCCCCGCTCCCTCGCCCAGCCCGGGATGCTTTTCCCAGGTACCTCCTCAATGCCCCGGGGGAAACCTTGTACCGCTTTGTGGGAGCCCGGCTGGGCGTTTAAAAGGCTCAGCCCCGGGGTCTGGGCTGGGGCCGGGGTTGGGCGGGGTCCCCGCCGCCCCCAGTCTCCCCCCTCTCCCCCACCCCTGTCCCTTTCTGAGCTGGTTTCCCCCCTCGCAGAGGTGCAGAAGCTCTCCAGCCTGGTGCTGCCGTCGGAAGTGATAATCGCTCAGAGCTCCATCCCCGGAGAAGGGCTCGGCATCTTCTCCAAGACTTGGATCAAGGCTGGCACCGAGATGGGGCCGTTCACGGGCAGGGTCATCTCCCCCGAACATGTGGACCTGTGCAAGAACAACAACCTCATGTGGGAGGTAACAAACGCCACGAACCCCGAGCCCCGAGCCACGGCTGGTCTGGGGAGAAGCAGGGGTGGGGTGCTGGGGCTGTCTCCCGTGCTTGGGCACCAGCGGGCACCATCCTTGTGCCTCAGTTTCTCCATTCATGCAAATATCTGGGCAGGTGGGTTTAGGAACCCCTTGCAGGAGAAGGATGAGGTTTCCCCAGCCCTCGTGGTGCAGCCAGCCCACAGAGGAGCCCCGAAATGCTGTTGCTCGTGTCCTGTACGGGCGAATCACACCCTGCCCTGCCCTGCCCATCCTGTCCTGGTGGAACACCCGACTGGTTGCTGCCTGCACTGGTCACAGTGGACAAAAACAGCTCTGCCCTGTCCCTTGCTCCTTGCTTTGCCCCAGCCCTGGTGAGGTTAATCCCCAATGAAACCGTGGAGTTTGGGGGGATCTGAGATGCCAGGATATTGTACACTAATGCACAGCTAGTAGGGAGGGGTTTTCCATTTTTTTTTATTTGTTTGACTCAGACTTGCACTTCTTAATTATTGTTAATTATTATTGTAATTTTATGCCTAACAGAAACTTGCCTCATCTTTTTTGGCACCCTGCTAAGCATCTTTCTGGGCCTGGCATGCACCTTTTCCCTCCACGCAGGGATTCTCCCACTCCCATGGCAGCTGCAGGATGCTGAACAGCCCCTTCCTCTAGGGCTGAGCTGCTGGGGGGGCTCTGATGAGAAGGGAGATTGAGGAAGGGAGCTGGGTTATCCAGGGAGAGAGGGGCTGGCAGGACCAGCCATACCAGTGAGAGCAGGGCGCGTTCCTCAGCCCTGCTGCAGTCCAGCACCACAAGCAGGAAGGGTTCAGCATCTCCCAGTTGCTGTCAGGATCTCAGTCCCGAGGCTTTGCTGGCTTGAGCTTGTCCCTGTCCAGGGCTTTATCCCAGAGGCAGGAGGTGGAGGGGCTCAGCCCACTGCGAGGGCAGCATTGCTACCAAGTGCTCTCTGCCCTCAGGTCTTCAACGAGGACGGCACAGTGCGGTACTTCATCGATGCCAGCCAGGAGGATCACCGCAGCTGGATGACCTACATCAAATGTGCACGGAACGAGCAGGAGCAGAACCTCGAGGTGGTCCAGATCGGGAACAGCATCTTCTACAAGGCCATTGAGGTAAGTGGGGCTGAAGACTCTCCCTCCCTTGTTCTTTGGGTTGTTGGTGGGGTGTCTGTGGAAGGACATGGCAGCTTTTCCATCCATGGCACTCAGATCTACCAGCAGAGGTAGAAACCACAGGGAAGGGCCATTGCATGGGCTTCAGGGCGTAGTAAAGGTGCCTTCTCCTCTCTGCCCTCTTTCTGTGGGCTCATGGAGTGATGTGTGTTGAACAGGGCAAGAGTAGATCCTTGTTTGGGGTGTAAAGCATGAAAAGAGCTGCAATTCTGGCCCATATGGGGCTTTGGGCAAGGACAGGGCTTGGATGCTCTATTGAAAAAGTGGGATTTTGTGCAGAACCTGCTTCTTTTCAGCAGGGTAAAGTTTGGGGGGTTCTGTGAAACCCAGTTTCTGAGCACAGGCTGTGCCTGACTCCGCACTGCTTTGCCTGGGCATCACTCCGCCTGTGCAGGGAGCAGGGAGCCACGGAGAGGGCAGGGAGTGGTGCTGGTGCAGCTCTGCCCTGGGCTTTACACTGTGGGGAAGGGGCTCTTGCTGCCCCCTCATCCCTGTGCTCCTGCATGAGGTGCTGGTCTGTGCTGGTGTGCACAGGAGCAGGGGCAGGGTCCCGGGCTGGCACAGACTGCCGTGCAGTGGGGTGATGGCTGAAGGGTGCCCAGAGCTCCCTACAGGAGCCTCTGGGATGGAGGTGGGTGTCTGGCTCCCCAGCATTATTGGTGACAAATCGCACTGTGCCAGAGCAGGGTGGTGGTGGGGACCAGCCCTGCTTATGGGCAGTGTCCCCATAACCCAACGCTATTGCAGGTGGAGAAAGGTGGTGGCTTGGGGACATGGCCCTGTGCAGCAGCTTTGGCTTAAAGAGTCACAAGAGGGGACACGTCCCAGTCCATCCCAGAGCAGCACTGTGGGATTGTGCTGCCTCAGCATCGGGTTCAGAGTCTCACCTGAGGAGTGTTTGCAGCTGGGAGAGGGTCTCAGCTGGGAATGACCATGAGTGCCTGCTGGCTCCGCAGGCACGGGCAGTGCTCTGGATCTGTCCAGGCTCCTGCACTGGCTCACGGAGGAGCACAAACCCAAATGCCCCATGGCACAGGACCACAGCCGGGCTGGGTTACGGATTGCTGCCACGGGGTGGCAAAGGAGAATGGGTGGGTAGGAAGAGAATCAGATATTCTCTCCTCCTGCGGGAGAGTCCCCTGTACTCTTTGGGCTCTGCCACCTTTCCCAAGAGCTCCAAGCACTACCCTGCTGTTCTCATGCTGGACAGCAGACTTCAGGTGTTTCTAGTTTTAAGACCTGATAATCCTGTGGGAAGCTGTGCCCATTGTGACAGCACCTCAAGTACTTTTTACTACTGTTCTTAAATTATGCAAATAAGTAAAATAATTCCAGGTAGCTGTGGTGTAACTAGGAACACAGCTGTGGTTTTTACACCTTGGGCAGGCACTGAAGAGAGGGTGGGTGAGTGAATATTTGGGTATAGCCATGATCCAGCTGTGGGCTTGCTCCTAGGACTGAAGCAGCGAGCAGTGGAGCAGGATGAGTTTAATTCCCTTGGCACAAGCAGTGAATTTGAGACAATAAGAGTGCAGAACCCCAAGTGATATGTGGGAGGAGGTGGGCATGAAGGGTCCCTGCTGTCACACTGCTCCCCAAGCTCAGCAGGACACGCACATGCTGGCCTGAACTTAAGCGCTGCCCTGCTCAGCACCAGAGGTGTCCATGCATAGCCATTGTCACCTTCCATCCCCTACCAGCCCTGGTGGCTTCCCAGTCAGGGAATCCATCTCTTTGGATGCCTTTCTCACCGACATGCCAAAGAACCAGATTGATTTGGTGCTTTTTTTTTTCCTATTTACCTTACATATTTTTATGCATTTTGCCAGTTCCTGCCTATATTTGTTGATTTGTCTTTCCCATCCTCTTTCTCAGCAACACAAAGTTGCTGTTGCTGGAAAATAAAATGACGGCAGAAAAGTTTTGGCCTTTGATCTGAAGGCCACAAGATTCCTGGGGGGCAATTTGAATTTGCTTTGGCGTGTACGCACATGGGTGCTCATCTTCTGCTGGTATGGCTGCAGCAGCTTCAGCAAAAAAACCATACACCCATGTATGCACCCATGCAGATTGCTTTTTCCTTTCAGCAATATTATATTTGCTTGTATTAAAAATGTCTAATTTTCTGTTAAGAGTAAATAACGCCAAGAAACAGAGTCATCTATTTGGGATGCAAAAGGATATCGGCTTCCTCTGCCTCCCAAATTCCTCCTCTACAGCCCAGTGTGGTCTTCATGCAGAGGGACAAAGATATGAAGTCAAATTCCTATTGATTTCAGATGCTTTAAATTCAACATATTTTCAGTGTTGAGGTGATTGAACTTAGCATCTGTGTTTCATGTGGAGGATGTTTTACTTGAATCTACCATGCGCAGTGTACAGAAAACGATCCTCCAAAATGCAGGATGTTCCTATTTCTAAATTAGGTTTGTAACAGCAGGGACTGCTAGGGAAAATATGTATTTTTCAATGAAGTGATGTTGTTGTTAGTGTTGTTTGAACTGGTCTGAGGGGATCCATCTTCCCAGCCAGGGCTGCTGCACGAGGGGAGCCGTGAGCGGCGTTTCCTGGCTGCTCGCCCCGGCCATGCAGGAACAAGACAGGAACAGCAGGGACAGGAGAAGTGCCATCACTGCAGGGAAACAGGAGCGTGGATGATGCAAAACTACTGCCCTGCTCCTGTAGCTGTCCTTGGGCTGTTGCAGGCATGGCAGCTTTGGTGGGGGATATAAGCAGCGTTTCACACCTGAGCCATGGTCTCTGACAGCAGTCCCGAGCTCCCCTCTGCTCTGCGGGCTCATGAGCCCTTTGCTGGTGGATCTGCATTTCCACCTTCTAAAATCAGCCTTGGCAGGGCTGGGTGGGGGATGCTGCCTGTGCCCTGCAGCTGGAGGGTGCTGATGGCTCTGTCCAAAGACAAAATGCTCTGCTGGAGCCCTGAGCTGGGGCTCTGTGTCCCATCTCCTTGCTTTAGTCTCTGTCACTGGTGCTGGTTGTGGCTCCACAAATGGTTTATTTCTCCATGTCTCTGCGTTCCATCCCGTTCCTGGTCTCCCTGAGCGGCTGGGACCTCTGTGTCCTGCACTCCAGAGACTCCAGATCTGTCCCTGTGCTCTGTAGCTCCATATTTGCCCATAAACATGTTTGTATCCCAGCTTGGGGGAGAGCCTGGAGCAGGTTTGTGCTGGTGCTGAGCTGTGCCATCACCTCCAGTGCTGCATCCTGTGTTGTTCCATGCCTGCCTGTGGGTGTTGAGGACTGCTGGCAGGTCCCAGATGGCAGCAGGGTCTCACAGAAATGGGGCACAGCCAGGATAGGTCCAAATGGATCAGCGCAGGGATGGATGTTCATCGCGCCTCCCAACAATCCTTTCTTTATCTCTCTAGATGATTCCTCCAGACCAAGAGCTGCTGGTCTGGTACGGGAACTCCCACAACACCTTCCTGGGCATCCCAGGTGTGCCAGGGCTGGAAGAGGAGCAGAAGAAGAACAAACACGGTAGGTAACATCAGAAAGAGCCAAAAAACCCCTCATCCCTGCCTGTTCACCCTGTTCCCAGCTCTGAGGCCGTTGGGCGGGCAGAAGGCAGGGGCATCCCAGGGGTATGTCAGATATCCCAGTTCCCTGTGGACAAGCACAGGGACTATGAAATGATCCACACAGCTTGAGCAGGTCCTCAGTAATTCAGGGCGATGCCTCCAGGCCCGTTTGCCCACAGCTGTTGCTGGTGGGGTGTTGGCAGTCACTGCCTGTCCCTGCCAGGCAGGGAGGAGCAGCAGAAGGTGTGAGTGCGAGGCAGCCCCGACGCTCCGTGAAACACCAAGCGGATGCAGCATTTACATCCCCACTCTGCATTTAAGGGATCTTAACCACCAACACAGAAGGGTTTTCTCTCCTTGGGCTTTCGCTCTCCGCTTGTCTCAGTAGCTCCCAGAGGTGCTTCTCTGCGGCACAGCAGAGCTCAGGCTATGTTTGGAGCCGCTTCTGTGCTCCCTGACTCTGCTCCCCACTCTCAGAGATCCCAGCAGAGCAAGGGGAGAAGCTGGGACTGGGGCAGGAGCTGGACAGCGTGGCTGGGGGTTCCTGAGAGTTCCTGCACCCACCTCCTTCAGCTCTGCTACAGCCCAGGGAGGGGAAAATTGGTTTTGTGTCCATTTATAAGGGATTCATTCAGCTCAGCATGAATGTTCCCCTTACCTAAATCTGGCTGAGCCCATTCCCGGCACTGGCTGCATCCCAAAATCCTAAGAGCCAGCCAGGATGCCAGTCTGCCCAGGATAGGTGACCTCAGCAGTAAGAGGGCACTGGAGGGCTTTCCAAGGCACCCAGCACTCCAGGGACTTGGGGTGGGGTGAGCTGCTGTGCTGGAGGACAGCGCCTGACTGTCTCCTGTCGTCCCCAGAGGATTTCCACGCGGTGGAGACGGGGGCCAGCACGACGGGGCGCATGCGCTGCGTCATCTGCCACCGCGGCTTCAACTCCCGCAGCAACCTGCGCTCCCACATGCGCATCCACACCCTGGACAAGCCCTTCGTGTGCCGCTTCTGCAACCGCCGCTTCAGCCAGTCCTCCACCCTCCGCAACCACGTCCGCCTGCACACGGGCGAGCGGCCCTACAAGTGCCAGGTTTGCCAAAGTGCCTATTCCCAGCTCGCAGGGCTGCGGGCGCACCAGAAAAGCGCCCGCCACCGGCCCCCCAACGCCTCCCTGCAGGCTCACTCGCCCGCCCTGCCCGTGCCCCACCCTGCCTCCCTGGCCCATCACATCCCCACCATGGTGCTGTGAAGCCCCGGTACGGCAGCAGGATTTGGGACAGCAAAGACTGATGCTGAGACACGCGATGAACTGGGGGGAAGGCCCTTGGCTGAGCTGCTTTGTGTCTTGGAGTGTGCTGGGTTGTTTTTGGGCACGGCTGACTGTGGGGGGTTGGCAGGAGGGGAGCCCCCAGCTCTGCAGCTGAGTTGTGGGGTATCATCCCCAGGGAGATGTGGCACAGGGTGGGCTGGTGGCCCCTGGGGTTGGCAGGGGAGTACGGATGCGGTGGGATGTTCTGTGTGGGTTTGCCAGCTCATTGGGGGAGGACTGGGAGAGCTGAAAAGCCGGGCCTGGAGGAGTCATGTCTGGATTTTACAGATAATTTGGTAGAAAGAAAAATTCCTCTTATCTGTCCTCCTCTGCTCTAGCAGACGTGTGCTCCATTGAAAGGTTAGCACTGCTCTGATGCGGCCACCCCAGTCATACCTGTTTGCCCTGGGAGGGGCTTTGGCCGCGGTGGCTCCTTCCAAGGGACACCTTTCCATGCTTGGGAGCCCCGAGTTAGTGAACATTTGCATTTTCCTGCATCTAAGCCCTCTCTGCCCACCCTGCTCCAGCCAGAGCCTTGTACTGGGGTCTGTCACTGCTCCAAGCCGTGCTGCGGGCACAGGGGACATTGCGCCAGCTGGGAATGCCCATCCACAGGCAGGTTTTGCAGGGACCCTGAGCTCTGCCGGGCTGTGCCTCTTCCAGCCCTGGCAGCTCTTCTCGCCATCCCTTTCCCAGCTGTGAAGGAACATTTTGGTTGGAACTGCTACTGCCCTCTGGGGACAGAGAAAACCTGTCCCCTGGCCAGCTCTGTCCCCAAGGACAACTCTAAGCGCCCTCTGGAGTTCCCACACTGCGGAGGAGAGCTGTGTATCATAAATCTAAAAAAAAATTTAAAAAATAAAAAAAAGGTATTCTAATATTAATTATAAGTCTAAGATGTATAAAGTTCTCACAAACCGTGTTTCACTTCCAGAAGAAAATAAACAAAAACAAAACAAAATAAAAAAAAAGCCCCAAACAACTGTCACTTTAACTTTGTAAATATTTATGTAAACATTATTTACAAGACTTTGATATTATATATTATTTGATTGTATATGTACACAGTGTAAATACATTTGTACCTCTCTTGTATTCTAAATAAAAATTACTTGGAACATCTATCATTTCGAAGAGGGATTGCATGGAGAGCTTTTATTTTATATGCCAGGGGAAGGATGTGGGTATTGGGATGAGTGAAGGTCTCAACTATCCACAACAATCTGTGAGTGAGGAGATGTGGTGTCATCTGTTGGACCAAGAAGTGCACCTGGGAGGGGAAAAAAACCCAGTTTTTGGCTAAAGAAGCGCCTTTTCAGGTCCGGAAGCTGGGGTAAGGGCTGGCTCACTCGAGTGGGTGATATCTACTGATTCCACCCTGCCAGTCCCTACTCTTGTGAACTTGTTCAGTCCCTTTTGAAGCCGCAGCTACTGACATCCTTTGATACATTCCGTGAATTAGTGCCCATGTTTCGGCTGTGATGGGACACAGGCCCTGCTGGCAGGAAGGGACATATTTGCTGACAGTCACCGTGGGCTGCTTTTCCCGTGGCATTTCCTCCGCAGCCCTGAGAGCCGAACCGGTGCTTAGATGGATAAAACTTTTCCACAGACGTATCAGTTCGTGCTGGCACAGCTCGGCCGAGGGGAAGGGCTCAGTCCCGAGTCCCGCGGGGATGTTTGAGCCGAGCGTGAGCACCGGCCAGCTGGGGAGGGCATGAGGGACTGCCCTCAGGGAGACACCTTGTGTGAGGGGCACCCGAACTGGGGGTGCTGCTCCCCGCCCCGACCCCCAGCACTGCAGCCCGGCCCGGGCTGTGGGGCCCGGTGAGCCCCGGGACAGGGCTCCCAGGTTTCCCCCCGGTTTGCCGGGCGGTTTCTGTGGGAGCGGGTCGCTGCTGGGGCCTGCCCGCACTAAAAATGGCCGCGGTCCTCCTTGGGCTCCCCTGGAGCGAAGCCCAAGAGTCCCTTCGCTGCCAGGAGCAAACATGGCTGTCCAGTCACCGCCCCTGCCGCCCTCACTCAAGATGGCGGCGCCCACGCCCTCAGGCGCGCTTTCGCCAGCAGCCAACATGGCGGGCGGAAGGCGCGTGCGGCGGGGCCAAGATGGCGGCGGTTACCATGAGGCTGCCGGCTGCCCGTGCCCCTCTGGATTCCAGCGCGCTCCGGGGCGGCGAGAAGCACTTGGTGGCACCGGGGGACACGATCACCACGGATACGGGATACATGAGGTGCGGGCAGCGGCGGAGGGGAGGCGGCGGCGGCGGGGTGGCGCGGCTTCGGGCTGTCCTTAGGTAGTCGCTGTCTCTCCGCAGGGGCCACGGTACTTATGTGGAGGACGACAAGCTGATCGCCTCGGTGGCCGGCGTGGTGGAGAGGGTGAACAAGCTGGTGTGTGTCAGGGCGCTGAAGGGCAGGTGAGGCGGTGCGGGCCGGCGGCGGGGCCTGGCCGGGCGCGGTGCGGTGTGTGACCGCCGCTCTCTGTGCCAGGTACAACGGCGAGATCGGCGACATCGTGGTCGGCAGGATTACGGAGGTAAAGCCCCGTGTTTGCCGCGGTGCCGAGGAGGAGGATGGCCGTGGCTCAGTCCCGCTCTAAGCGCTTCCCGGAATCCTAAAACACTGACGCATATCAGTGTCCCTGCGCAGGGTACTGGGAGCGTGTGGATTTTAACCGGGATGAGGCTGGAAGAAGCCAGCAGAGCTGTCCCCTCCTGCAGCTTGGTGAGCTGCAGCTCCCATTCAGGTTTTGAGTGTGTACCCATAAGTTTGGGTGGTTTTTTTTTTCCCCTTTAGGTTCAGCAGAAGCGATGGAAAGTGGAAACAAATTCCAGGCTGGATTCAGTCCTGTTGCTGTCGTCTATAAATTTACCTGGCGGGGAGCTGGTGAGTGTAGCTGGTTGTGTTTTGCATGGCATCCTAAGGTCCCCCACAAAGAGCTGCTGATGGATGTTTTCTCGTTCTGGCCTACATGTAACTTTTCTTGTGATGTTTCAGAGAAGAAAATCAGCAGAAGATGAGCTTGCAATGAGGGACTACCTGCAGGAAGGAGATCTCATCAGCGTATCCTTCTGCTGCTCCCATCGACAGAAGGGCCAAGGGCATGGGAAGAGCAGGGAGAGTTTGGTTGGCCTGGCTGGGGGTGAGAGCTATGCTGGGGTGGCACTGGGCAGCCGTAGGGACCCTGTTTCCTTAAGTGGCACTGACAGGCAGAGGTCCAGTCTATATTTTCTGATGGGGCTGTATCTCTGCACACCCGGAGCCTGAAGTACGGGAAGGTGAGTTATTCCAAAGCCCTTGATCCTGGGATAATTCTGCACCAGCTGATTTGTATAAGGCCTTTTGGAGGCTTTTTTAAGAAAAGAGCTATGGAGTAGAGTGGGATGTTGTTATTACTCATTCCTGCAGGACAGGAAGACTCTTAGCTTTTCCATGGGACCACCAAGCAGAGTTTCCCCAAAGCAAAGGAGGCATCCTTGAGTTGCCCTTTCATCCACTGCTCTCCCTGTCTGCAGTTGCAGCCTGCTAGTTCTGTTTCCCCCACTAGCCACTTGGGAATTAAATCCTGGGGAGAGATTCCTCACTCCTCTTCTGCTGGCTGTTGCCCCTGTGACTTGTTCTTCTCCCCAGGGCTCTATTTTAGGCTTTACACAGTTGGCATTTATCTCTGGTTTTGTGCATTGAAATAAGCCAAGGGGCCGTTGGAGCGTAGGCTGCAGTTTGGGATTACCAGACCAAGGGTATTAGCACTTAAAAGATGAAAGGGAAGTGTGCTTATTGCACAAAGGGTGAAGGACAGTGATTGGATTATGAGGGAAAGTGTTCTGCTAAATTGGGCCTCTGACTCCTCATTTTTCTGCAGGGATGGTTGATGTGTAGTTACGATCAAGATATTATTAACATTTGTGCTAAGCACTTAAAGTATTCTTCATCTTCAAAGGGCTGCACAGGCATTAGCTAATCCTCCCAGTGCTCCCAGAGGCAGGCAGGTTTTATATGCACTGTTTCACAGGAAAAGGTGTTAAAACAGAGTTGTTACTAGGCCAGGAGTGGAGTGGGTGTGTATCAGTGACTTGGCGTTGTCTGTGGTGGCTCATGATGTCTCTCACGCTGAGCCTTGTGGTCTGCTTTCCAGCTTGCCCAGGGTGTGCTGGTTCAGGTCTCTCCCTCTCTTGTGAAACGTCAGAAGACTCATTTCCATGACCTGCCCTGTGGTGCATCCGTGATCCTTGGCAACAACGGCTTCATCTGGATCTACCCAACCCCAGAGCAGAAGGATGATGAGGCTGGAGGCTACACTGCCAACTTGGAGGTGAGTCCAGGGAGCGTGAGCCTTCTTCTGCCAGTGATGGTTTTTAGTCTGACATAGTCAGAGGCATGTGAGTAACCTGAGACTTTCAGGATCCTCTGTTAGGTTCACACAAGGCTTTTTTCCTTGCATTATTTCCCTGTGCACTCATCCCTTTTCCTCTGTCCTTCCCCAGCCAGTTCCCTTGTCTGACCGGGAGGTGATCTCACGGCTCCGAAACTGCATCATGGCTCTGGTTACTCACAAGATTATGCTCTTTGACACCAGCATTCTGTATTGCTATGAAGCATCCCTTCCTCATCAGGTACAGGAACCAGTAGTGTTTATTCCACACTGAGGGGAGGGAACAGAAAGGCTGCATCAGTTGCTGCTGAAGTCAGAGTTGCCTTTCAATTTACCAAAGCATCCTGTAGTAAGTGACAGTATGAACTCTCCTCTTCTGCACAACATAAGTTGCCTTGCACAATTCCAGGGATAGTTTGAAAGGTTCTGCCTCTGGCAAAGTCTAACTATTCCTAAAGAGAGATCAGTCCCTTTTTTGATAGATGTTGTGTGTTCCTCACTGGGATTATGGACCCTTTAATTCCTGTGAAAACAGTGTTAAATTTGGCATTGTATGAGAGTACAGTGCATTTTATGAAGCAATGAAAAAGTAAATGTCATGTGTTGTACAGAGAGCAGGCTCATGTCTGTATCCACATCCTTCATTCTGGAAGACTGCCTCCATTTCACCTCTTGCTGTACAGCTTTTCACTGTGATTCCTGCCAGCACTATCACAGGCAATTCTCTTCCCGTAAATAAATGAGATCTGAATTCTGCTTTCATTCCCAGTGAGGTGTTCTTTTGAAGTATAACTGTGCTTAAGTCATCTCTGCCCTTCCCAAATACAAATGTGTGTCCTTCAGGGAAGATGAGGAAGGTTAGTAGCCTCTCCTTTGATTTCCTCTGGTCTCTGTAAGAATTCCAAACTGGCAAAGTTGATTATGCCTTGGACCCTCTGCCACAGGTCTTTTTTCACCACAACCCTCTAAACTCCTTTGCTGGTTGCTGCCATGTGTCAGGGACCTTTGTCTCCCCACAAAGTGCAGAAGTAGTTGTTGATTCCTGGTGCTCATATTGCTCTTCTTTCCACTGCAGATCAAGGACATTCTCAAACCAGAGGTGACAGAGGAGATCGTTTT